CAAATAATTTTTCCTGATTACTTTCCTGTAAAGTGGTACCCCCAATTTTGAAAATGTATTTATATGACTGGTACCTAAAGATATCAGATGACATTTGTCTTCATTAAGTTTCATATAGTTGTTACGGAACCATTTGCTCGCTAGAACTGAATCGTTTTCTAGTCTGGAAATCACCCCGTTCTTGTCCCTGTCACAAGTAAACAGTGTATCATTCGAATAGTTGCATATGTCAGTTTTCTCAATTAACAAGAAGAGGTCATTTATGAATATTTTGAAAAAGAACGGTCCAAGAACAGATCCCTGTGGGACACCTGAGGGTAGCTTTCTTCAAGAGCTAAAAGAACCGTTTATATTTACTCTTTGTTTTCTGTCATGTAAATATTCGTAAACAAATGTTAATGCATCGTGACCAAGACCGTCTGCTTCCAAATTGCCATTGCGAGATGAGGATGGAAGATAGGATGAAATGTTCATATGAACGCGATCAAATTTTGTCCCACTTGTCAGCACATAGGCTGGAAGGTCAGATGATTCTCTCCACATACAGCTGGAAGGTGGGATAGAATCTGCATGTAAACATTTAATGATTTCACCCACATGCCAGATTATGGGCTGAAAGGTGGGATAAATTTGCTCATATCAGCAGGCCCTAGGAGCCTGTTGCGTGCTGAATTCTTTTTGAAACGGCAAAGTAGCGGAGACAATTGATTTTTTATATGTATTCAATCAATTGTTTTTCACAGACTCTCTCGAACACTTTTGATATCGTGGGTAAAATGCTAATACGAGCATTTTACCGTATCGTGGCCTGTTATTGTCTTTTTTAGTTGTCTCGTTCTTTTTTTTACAAAATGACTATCGAATTAGTGATTTGTTGTTGTTTATTTAGCCATCACTGATTTGTGTGTTTGGTGTTTGTTGTTGTTTATTCTCGTCGCGTTGCGGTGTTCCTTATACACTACTATTTTATCGTTTTTTCGTCGCAAGATTTCCTCCGGAGTCCGTCGAGCCTGCTATCGTGGCCTCTCCTTTTTTCGCACACGTATCTTTTTACTCTGGCGAGATTTTTCTGAGAGTACTGGTTTTTATCATTTTCCAGAATTTCTTATTGTCAGTAATAAAATTAATGTTCAGATTATAATAGTATTCCTTTTTGGCAGATTTGAACAGTTTTGCGCAGAGATTTATCCGTTTACGATAGCAATTTTGATTTTCAGAGGTTCTAGATAAACTGTAACGGTTGCGTAGCCTTGAGCGCCACATTATTGCCTTACGTAGACTCTTAGTCATGAAAGGTGCATTATTTACTCTTACAAATTTCTTTTTCGTAGGGGCATGTCTGTCCAAACTTTCGTTGAAAACGTCTTGAAATTGAAGATCATTAGGAATTACTGAATTACACTTTCTTATATTTTATTGATCTGTAGGCGAATATCTTGCCTGAAATCCTCAAATTTGAAGTTTTTATGGTTCCTATAACTCATAATCCGAGGAACCTTCCTTTTGACATTTGGATTGTAAAACAGAGAAGATAATTTTGTGGAAATCTGAAAGCCCAGTTTCTATCGTTGTTGTTGTTTGTATATTTTTGTCCCTATTTGTTAGAATCAAATCGATGCATTTCGGATTATCAGATTCGAAGCAGGTTGGGCTCTTGGCTAAAGCTTTTAAGCTTTAAATATCGATCTTAACTGTGGACTTCGAGATTATTTCTAATTGAATTTATGTTTACATATCCAATGATTAGCCGATTTAAGTTTCTAATACGTAATAGTTTCAAGGCCGATTTAGCATCTATATTACTATCAACATCAGTATTTTTGAATCGGTATCGATATTATATAGCTATCAACATCAGAATTGTTTGTGAGCTTGGCTATTGCTGTTATTTCATTCGATCATTGCTGCCCGGATCATTATCGCTGCCAAGGAGCAGGGGGTTTCAAAAGCCACAATGAATCAAAATTTTCAACCATGAGGTGGGTCCCTCTCTATTTCAAGAGAAAGCGTGCAAATTTGATGACGAGACAACACAGAAAATTCCTGCATACAATATGTTCTCACTCGTATCTGTCAGCAAGGCGGACTACGTGACCAGTGTGTATCTGGCATCTGGGTGGTATCTTCTTAAGTGATGTTCTTAAGTGATGACGTCACAAATCTTTATTAGAAATTTTGAACTTTGATCCCAAAGCCTGAAACAGCATCTTGAAATACATCTAGATATCCGTTAGCAAAATTCAAATCTTTTATTGGCTATATCTCACCCTTTACTTGACACATTGAACTGATTTTGATCAAAGAGGCAGGTACAAAATTATGCAAAATTTATTACCTTCTAATGCTGAAACCTATTGACGACATTGATTTCTATCATTTATAGAGTTACAGAAATTGCTATCCCCTTCGTTACAGGAGATTCACTACAAAAATGAAAAGTTAGAACCAAAGCAGAGTCCCTACTAATTGAAGGTTGATGATGAATGGATCAACAACGATTTAGATAAAGTCGTGAAACTCTCTCAGTCAAAACTACTGAAATCCTCCTGCGGGATGGATTTTGCGGATTCTATCAAGTTAAAGTTTACTTTTATATTGGACCTTTAATTGGCTTCTATAAGCCACGGAAATTCCACGATCTCCTCTTTTTCGTTGTTGGTCTACATTAATAAGCGCTGTTTATTGACAAAATGGATATTCCCACAGAAAAATTTGGTTTCAAAGTAAAAGGGCTGGTACATTAAATTGCGGTTTTACGGATGTTATGTATGGACATTGTCGAAAATCACTCAAAATTATCGAACCTTTAAGTAAAAGTTTAAACTGCAAACAGTAAAAGATAAAAGTCAGTAGACTGGTTCTGTTCCTAGAGGAACTTAAGTCGAGCGGAAAAAACTGTCTAGCTTGAGATTTCATAAACAAAAATGATATGTAAAAGAAAGAAACGACCAAACAACGCATGCAAACTTTGTTGTGAAGGTGATTCTCAGCTCCATGAATGCAAAGAAAGAGAAAAGACGAGAGGATTACGAACAGATCTTGCTGTGGTAAAAAAACCGACAAAGTATCTTCCCAGAGTTCCAGATAGCGACGATAACAAAATGTCAGGTGAAAGCAACACCAATGCCGACAGCAGAAGAAACTCAAAAGGTGGGGTACGAGATGAAAATTATAAAGAGGGCGCCATCAGTAGGATTCACGGAGCCATGGCCTTTCCTGGTTCAGGAAATCGAAGGTTGAACAGGCAAGAACCTAGCGGTCAGAATTCAAAAACTTATTTTATAGCAAAGGAAGGGGGAGCACTGTTGCAGAACAGCCAGCAAACAGCCAGCAAAACAGCCAGCAAAGCAGAAGGAGCTTTGACAAAATACCCAATCGGTGTATCTCCATCACAAAGCTACAAAATGAACAACACGGTATTGAATTTCATCGTCAGCGACATGAAAAAGCACACGAGCTAGCAACAGAATATCCAACGATCAGTTGTCTTTCACAGTTGAGTGCCAAGAAGCAAAGAACACCATGGCATCTGCGGAGGTCCTGGTGCGCAGAGCCAGAGAAACAAAAAGGGGACAGCGTGGCATAAACAACCAAAATATAAGTACATATGACTATCGTTCAAAAGTAGAAGCATTCCTTGAAAGTAGTCAGCCAGGTGCGCCTCCACAAAGCTTAAGAATCACGAGAAACTTAATCGATGAAATGTTAAACATTAGGCCACTTCATGCAAAACGCACAGTAAAGGACAGCAATGTAGCGAGAAAATCTCTAAGTACGGGCAATATTTATTTGCAGCCTTTCATAAACAGTTGTACAATGCGATCTTATTACAATGGGGAAGCACCAAGATATAGATACCTTAGGCTTCCACCAACACCAGAGCTGACAGTAGAAGAGATATTCGGAAAAAACCACGAACAATAAATGGGAAATGCAGATAAAAGAGTAGAAAATGAAGAGGAAGTCAAATGATAAACAGCGCTTTTACAATGCATAAAGTAAGAGCCCGTTTATATGGGATCGGATTCATAGATAGATCCGCTTTACTTCCAATAACAAACAATCGCTATTGTCTAAATGATAATGTATTCTTACATGTGAAGTTCTGTGCATGATGTGAAGTTATGACAATCTTTCAAAATTGGCGTAAAATCCATATATGAAATATTTCGTGCTACTATTCTTTCTAGGAGACTGAACGACGGCATCAAAAGTGAAACTGTTAAATCATGAAACCGTTGGATCATTAAACCGTTGAATCATGAAACCGTTGAATCATGAAACGGTTGAATCATGAAACCATTGAATCATGAAATCATTGAAACATGAAACTGTTGAATCATGAAACCGTTGAAACATGAAACTGTTGAATCATGAAATCATTGAAACATGAAACTGTTGAATCATGAAACCGTTGAAACATGAAACCATTAAACGTCTAAACGTAAGCATAGTAAAAGCAAAGTATTTTTCATTTTTGATACCAATCTACAGAACAGGGAATGACTTCGCCTCATTTTGTGCAGTCAGAACAGAAATGTATCTGATGACTGTTTACACCGGCTACGTTAACACTAAAACAAATATTGATAACATAGAAGAATGACAATAAACAGGAAAAGGGCAATAAACGGTTTATCGATTACTAGCGCGGTAATGAAATGAGAGAAAATTTCACATGCTGAAAACCCCCGACCCAACGCCAAACCTTTCCTATTTTAAACCCTCTAATTTCACACTTAAACAAAGTTACTTTAGATAAAGTTTACTTTCGCATTACTGATGATGTTTTCTTCACGGTGTTCCCTTTAATTGGAAATATATTTTCGCCACATAGGTCCAGAACATTGAAAAATGTTTTAAGGCTGAAATGCATAATGCCAAGAAGATCCCTTAGCTGATTTGAGAAATTGTTTCATTGAAGACGTGCTCTTCCCTCAAAGCGTGACTCAATTCTTCAAGTGTCCTATTCTATACAAATGAATGTGTACAAGAAACCGTTCTATTTCGATGATTTTTTCATAAATTATTCTTACTCATAATGAGATGACTACCTTATGACCAGCATCTTCGCATATTGGCACATTTATTTTTAGAAAGGAAATTTACAATACGATTCTTACCAATAGAACTATGAAATCTAAATTCATTAAATTAATTAATAAACGTGTGATTATTAAAGCTGCAACAGCTCGGTATCTGATTCTTCACTATCATTATCTTTATATAAGTGTTCAGAAGAGATCTCTGTCTCTTCAATAAGCAAACCTTCTCTTTGCTCAATGTCACTGTCCTCTGAATGAGCTTGGACCTAGAAATGAATCATGGTGCTTAATCAAATGTAAATTGAAAAACATTCATACACAGTTTCACATTCTCATCACGAATACTGACACAAATGTGCCATATGAGTCATAAAATGGAAATCTACCTTTCTGTACTTGTAGCCAGGAGTTAGAGTGTCTTTACAGCATATGTACTTCTTAGCATTGTACCGAAGACATGACGCTGCATTGGCTCTATGGAGCATAAGACGGGACAAGGCAGGTTAGCAGAGTGAATAGTAGGTGAGAAACTACAAAAAATAGTATTTCTTCAAAAAAAGTAAAGAGTTGTTTCTCTTATAGAAACAGGAAAGAAAGGTCCGCAAAGTACGTTTGTAACATTATCTTTTAAACGCCTAGACGCAAGAACGGCAAAATTTCCTTAATTCGAAAAAATTGATAAAGATCATGTGGACAAGCTCACTAAAATACAATGTTTCGAAACTAGTGAGCCTAATGTTCAAAATAATGAGGGGACACTTTGCAAACTGTGTAATTCTTACTTAGATCACAGTGCGATTTATGTTTAGGTAAACATAAAAACCACATGAGACTGGAAAGGAGAAAGTTTTAATGACAAGGATTTTGACAAAATTTAGTCCAAAAGGGTTATCCTCACCTTTTTTCAGGATTTCTTCGCAAATATACCAAAAGGAAAACCAACAGCACGCACGAAACAACGATAATTGATATAACTGCTAGGTGATTTCTGGGACCAGATTTCTGACTGGTAGTTGGAACAATCGCTGGAACTTGTTTCCTGGAACAAACGCACAAGTTAAAAGGATGCATGCTTGTTTAAGTCTGAATCGCTAATTAAATGCTATTCAATTTGAATAAAAGTTTAAAATGGTATAATACAACATTTTGTCTTGCCTAGGCGATTATCGACGTTTTTTTGGTTAAGATCACCGTTCTTCCAAGGAAAGTTTTCTCAATTTAAAATAAATTCTTATAATGACATCATGTAAATTTAATCCAGAAAACAAGTTCGGGTCAGACCTACCTTTCGTTGCAAATTAGTTTTGACGTCAAAGAAGACAAATACAAACATCGTCTTTTATCAAAGTTGACAATTTTCAGCATTGTATCATCACCACATTTGATCACAATTCGAAACTTCAAATTAGGGCAAGGACCTCCTCCACCAGAAAAGTCAATTATGATATTTGTAGAGTTGGCTGTGGACAAAATGCATCAGAACATATCATTAAAATAATTAGACACAATGTGCGTATAGGACGAATGACCACAAAATACTATCACAAACATTAACACTTATTCGTAGACCTTAGAGTTTAGGGAAGTTGGCCTTGAAATTTGACAAGATGAATTCTATCGAATATTAGACAGATGAAATCAGTCGGATGCCTTTAGAAACTTTACATTTACGGTGTAGCTCAAATATAAACCTACTTAATAGGACGTTCAGAAAAAGGAACAAAAGTTTCAAACATATCCAGCAAACAATCTACTTTCGATTATTATGCTGAAAACAATACCCGCTTGAACCAAAATAGTAGGGCTACTTACACGAAAGAGCTTGTGTGGAAGCAAGCGCCAAAACATCCACAGCATCTGCTGTTTTGGATACTCTGCAAACTGCAGCAGTGTGCGGGCATCCACTAGTTTCACTCTTAATGCCTCCAAATATATTGACTATGTATTGGTATCTAAATTGAAAATGATGGATTGTTTCAAATGTCACTTTTATGCACCGAAATATCATCTGAACAACAAAAATTGTTGGTAAGATATTAAACAACCATGTGACCGAATGCGATACATAGTTTCTGGAAAATGACTCTTTTGCTCTAGAATAATGTCAGTAATGTTACCTCTTATCCTCAGTTAAAAAGTTGTGTCCTCTGTCTGCAATTTTCTTTGTATCAAAATCTTTGCCCATGAATTTGACTATAGTGCGTACATTGGCAGGCAGGCAAGCCAGACTCGTTTGCCAATGAAAGGAAAAAAATCGCATCGAAGTCGTTTGAACGTCAGTTATCAGAATGGGGTGTCCTTTGTCTATCACTTCGTTGCATGTGAATGTTACTTGGGTCGTTGGAGTCTTTTCGCCTGAGGAAGATAGTCTAATTCTTTATCAAACATGATGGGAGAAAACCTAAAAAGAAGATGCTCTCTACGTTGTGGAAACCCTCAAGCTGTCACCATATTCTCAAAGATGTAGAGGTAGACACGCAGCACTTGGAGAGGAAGCTATGAAATTTAAGATGGATTTATGTAGCAAATATGTTTTGCAGCCAGCAACAACATGAAGGAGGATTTGTGGAAAAAAAACAGAAAAAGCGGTCGGAAGTCTGGTTCAGTTTTTGCTTATTCAAGCTGTCAAATAGTATGCAGCATGTTACTTTCCACTATTGACAAAAATATTGTCGAATTATGAAAACCGTTGGTTAAAAAGGTGTAATAATAGCGATCTTTGAGAAGTTAGGATATTTTCCAGACGATCTTTACATTCTTGCTGGAGAGGCTATAATGCTTCTTTTGTGTTCTTATATGTAGCATACTGTATATTAACAGTACTGCTGGAATTTCTCATATAAAGAGCGAATTTTATTGTTGGGTGAATGTGTGGTGAATTTTAATGCGTTGTGTAAAACATCAGTTTCATCATCATCTCCTTCACCGTGTTCACCATGGTCATCGTCATAATCACCATGTTCAGTCTCAGTCATTGTCATTATGAAAGAATCTCCACTGGCGTTTCTAAACTCTGCAATTTTTAAGGGGTGGAATGACACAGCAAGCTGGTGCAGAGGGGCGCTCTTTGCTCTATTGAGGTCAACTAGCTCCTGTATTGTAAAATCTATCTATGTCAGATGTCTCATATACCTGTACGATTACCTTAGTAACAAAACCGATGAGATAATCAAAGGATTTGATTTGACAGCCATAACTGAAATAGATGCGACAGTCACAGACCTTGATGTTGATCTTGATAATATCGATGACTAATTGCAAAAAGATTCAACAGTCGACTTTCTGTTTATCTTGTCTAAACTTTGTATCTTTTTTCTAGCAAGCCCAATATTTTCCAGACATTAGAACTAAGAGAAAATTTTTCCTTCTAAAATCTATCCAATAATAAAACGAATCTATCGCAAGAAATGCTCAACGTTGGTAGAAAATTTCAAAATGTAACAAAAATTTTCCTTTAACTGACAGCTGTTGAAGGTGTTCTTGAAGACTCCTTGTAATATTAAAGAAAACAAGAATCCAGAATGAAAACTTATTGCGCCCATATATATTGGTAAAACTGTTTTGTTCTAAAGGTTTCTGGCAAGATCTTTGATTGGTCTAATCAGAACAATGAAATTACCGAAAATGCTCTAGCTAGAGAGTTCTAGTTCAATCTGGTTTGAGTGCGATTTTAACAGAAACCACACGTGGTCTCAAAGAAATAGAAGCAATTTCTTTTGAGCGAGAATTGACAACTTAGTTTCAATAACTTGTCGCATTAATAGCATACTAAGTAATATATAGCAAAAAGTCAAAAAACTGAATTTTTCTCTCTCAATTATCTTAATAAATTAAAGAATATGTCAAGAAAGGTATGGTATCATACAATATGAAAAACTGGTATATTTATGGAATTAAATGTTTGCTTGAAACCGAGTACTGAAAGGAAAAATCAATGCCACTTCCGATATAACTCTATCGTTGAAAGCAAGTCAATCGTGGGTTTTTTGAGTGTTTCATTACACAATATGTTTGAGCACGTGTTCCCGGAGGTAAAATCATAGAAAACGTTTTATAATTTATTTAAGATAATAAGTCTTTACAAACCCTTTTTATCTTGCATATACGTCAGAAGTAATACTTTCAGCGTTTCATCATAACGAAGTTGCTGATATTTAACCGATCCTAAAGACTGATGGACAGTGACGCCATTTGCTGTTTCAAGTCTGCAAACAGCGGCCATACTGCAGTTATCATTATTCACGAAACTTTGACCGCACACATTGAGTAGGTAAGAAATTGATGGGAATTTGCTACTTCGGACCTGCAAAATAAAAGTTTGGTTTAAAAGCAACAAATAATAGACTGACATTTGATTGTAATGGCGCCCACAAACGAGACTGGATAGAGACTGGCTGGCCTAGACGGATTTTTTCCGTACAAAGATTACTTTGCTAACACGAAAAAACTGCATATCTACCAGTTGGGATGTTGGCTTTAGAAGCTTAAAAACTCTTAAAATGCTGTTTCTAAGAAGGACATTTGTGTAACCAAAAGAAGAAAGTCACCACCATTGAGTCACAGACCATACCTTATAAGATTCCAAATTTAGAGCTGCCAGTATGGTATAAGAAAAGGGAGTTCCAAAGGGCCAAAAAGTTGAAATGCACTTCCAGAAGCAATATAAACAGCCTTAAATACTACTCAGCAAATAAAAAATTGGTTTGATCCTTCAATGTAAATGGGCATGTGCTATCTGTATTAAATGTCTTTCTTCTGGAATTAAATGTAAAAGGTATGGAGTGGCACGGGAGCATTTGAGACAAGATGTGTTTCTTGTTATGAGATGAAGTGGCAGAAAGAGATCAGATATTGATACTCGTTGTTGATGGTCTCTATAATCTGTTATAAAATACGAGGCTTCAGAAAGCTTAAGATAAGACTGCGATATGAATACCTTGTAACTCTCCTTTTTTGGCTTCCTCAAGGGGCTCAGATCGAATTTGTGGTTTAAAGCTTTATCAGTAACCGTGCAATTCGTTTCATTGATTTCTTCAACTTCATCGCAAACTTCCGAAGTCAGCCATCTAAACGTACATATACAATTATCACAGCCTTTGAAAACAGGATGGCCCTGAAAATAAATAATCATATTAATAGATACTTTAATTGAAGAGCAAGAAAAATGCGTATGCGAACCTTACACAGACAAGACAAGACAAGACAAGACAAAACAAGACAAGACAAGAAAGACAAGACAAGACAAGACAAGACAAGACAAGACAAGACAAGACAAGACAAGACAAGACAAGACAAGACAAGACAAGACAAGACAAGACAAGACAAGACAAGACAAGACAAGACAAGACAAGACAAGACAAGACAAGACAAGAAAAGACAAAACAAGACAATACAATACAAGAACAAGAAAAGACGAGAAAAGACAATGACAAACAAGACAAAGAAAAGAAAGAATAAACAAAGACAAGACAAGACAAGACAAGACAAGACAAGACAAGACAAGACAAGACAAGACATAACAAGACAAGACAAGACAAGACAAGACAAGGCAAGACAAGACAAGACAAGACAAAACAAGACAAGAAAAGGAAGACAAGAAAAGACCAAAGGGCAAGACAAAAAGGCAAGACAAGAAAAGACAAGAAAAAACAAGAAAAAAACCCAAAGACAAGACAAGACAAGACAAGAAAAGACAAGAAAAGACAAGAAAAGACAAGAAAAGACAAGAAAAGACAAGACAAGACAAGAAAAGAAAGACATAACAAGACAAGACAAGACAAGACAAGACAAGACAAGACAAGACAAGACAAGACAAGACAAGACAAGACAAGACAAGACAAGACAAGACAAGACAAGACAAAACAAGACAAGAAAAGGAAGACAAGAAAAGACCAAAAGACAAGACAAGACAAGATAAGACAAGAAAAGACAAGAAAGAACAAGACAATACAATACAAGACAAGAAAAGACAAGAAAAGACAAGACAAGATAAGACAAGACAAGAAAAGAAAGACATAACAAGACAAGACAAGACAAGACAAGACAAGACAAGACAAGACAAGACAAGACAAGACAAGACAAGACAAGACAAGACAAGACAAGACAAGACAAAACAAGACAAGAAAAGGAAGACAAGAAAAGACCAAAAGACAAGACAAAACAAGACAACACAAAACAAGACAATACAAGACAAGACAAGATAAGACAAGATAAGACAAGAAAGAACAAGACAATACAAGACAAGACAAGACAAGACAAGACAAGACAAGACAAGACAAGAAAAGACAAAACAAGACAATACAATACAAGACAAGACCAAAAGACAAGACAAAACAAGACAAGACAAGACAAGACAAGACAAGACAAGACAAGACAAGACAAGACAAGACAAGACAAGAAAGACAAGACAAAACAAGACAATACAAGACAAGACAAGAAAAGACAAAACAAGACAATACAATACAAGACAAGAAAAGGCAAAACAAGACAATACAATACAAGACAAGAAAAGACAAGAAAAGACCAAAAGATAAGACAAAACAAGACAAGACAAGACAAGAAAGACAAGAAAAGACAAGACAAAACAAGACAATACAAGGCAAGAAAAGACAAAACAAGACAATACAAGACAAGACAAGCTAAAACAACAAGATGCGATATACCTTTTCCCCATATTTGCAAATGAATTCTATTTGTGTACTCCATTTTTTTAACTTATCAATCGAGCAAAAGTCCCCGTTTTTGTAGTGTAACATGACTGTCTTCTCATCCGTAATTTGTGGTGGTGAATGGACCTCCCCAAGATTCTAAAAAAATACAAGACTCTTAAATAGAATACGGCGATAGAGCTGTTTCATTAAAAATATTCATACTTTCTAGCGACTTTCTTCAGTGACAAAAAATCACCAAAAACCTGATATCCGAAGAGACCCTGCAGCAAAGAAATCTGAAGACATCCAGAAAGTGAAACCTGAGAACAAATGGTGTGACGAAGCTCAAATAAAAAGTCTGCGACATCGAAAAGAAAGAAGAGGGAAATTACGGCTGTTTTTCTCAAACCGCTGTATTGCCCTTTCGGATATTTATAACAAAGTATTCAATGAGCAACAACGTCGATCAAATAGTATTTTGCTTTTTTTAATATCACATCTGTTTCTCATGATGAAGATAGAAATTTAGACAAAGATAGCATCGATTGTTCTGCCATATATTGAATTCTTTGCTGAAATGTTTTCTACGTTAGAAATCTCCATGTGACAGAAATAAAAAACTAGAACCAAAGAACTACGAGTATTCTAGAGTAACTGATGGAAGAAACCTGTTCCTTGTACATGTTAATGCTAATGCATATGGCTGTGCTAATGGCCAATGCCCTAGATGATCAAGATCAGATCAACTGTAACACAACTTGCTCCAGTTAAAAGCGTCCGCCAGCTAGCAGCTTTGGCGTGATCAAGGGTTGCGGTTGTTTGCCTTCTTACTTAAACTGTGTTTCAAACGGATCTTTAGGCACGTTAGCAAGTAGAATAGAGTGAGTGACATTGGCAGCGTCTGGATTAAAACACTCTCCTATAGCAATATTTGCATTAACTATATACTACAAGAATAATATTCAGATATGCCATACCTGTGAAAAGCAACAAGTCCAAACAGAGACAGTGGCGTACAACAAATATTAGATGCACATGAAAATAAACACATACAAATTAATGTTGCTCATTAATGTTGAATACAAATCAGTAGCCCTGTCCAATATGTCACCAAAAAACCGTTGCTTAACGAATATACCTAACTACATTATATCAACAATAAAAATGCAACAGGACACCGGAAGAAAATGCAACTTGAAAAAATCCAAAACTTAGATTATACTAACTCGATCTTCCAGAAAGTCGTTGTTGAGGGGCTTGAATTCATTATCAAGGCACATCTAATGTCTTTATAGATGTGTTTTAAAGAGATGTAGTGAAGCAATTCTCTAATTTTAACTGGAATATCCTTCCTAGCTTTTATGCCCAAGTAATAAAATCTTTTTTTGGTGGATTCAAGGTTTAGCTTAGGAAATTGGAGGTCTCTATAATTCCTTGTATTACAGTTCGATATAGAACATCTTTGTTGGAACATATTCCATAAGCTTTCATTGGCATAGATTGTTTACAATCTTATATCCCATAACACAGTGATCAAACCAAATAAGATTCACAATGCTTAGCCATTTTTAGGAAATGAATCCTGAAACCTTGCGCGCTCTTTAATTAATAGGGATCTGTTTTGGAGACATTGAAGTGCTTGAAGTTCGGACAAAGAAATACTGTCCCATACTACGCTTCCGTAGCGCAGGCGACTCTCAAAGAGAGCGTTACTTACATCGCTTTACGTCGATTGAAGAAGAACGTCTTTAAGTTTTTTCAAAGATGATAAACCACCTGCTAACTTTCCTGTCAGTGATTCATATTGGTCCTTCCATTTCAACCCTTCTTTGATGATGATACCCAAAGACTTGGTTATCTCCACACGCTCTATTTCAGAATCATTGAGTTTGAGCGAAGGGAAGTCATGACTAGATTTTGTTATCCTAACAGTTACATGGCATCACACTCTCTAAACGCCTAGAGCCAGTAAAACTCTGACTGATTATTACAAATATCCTTGATCGAGCAGCCCTGTGCTAATGGTCAGGTTAAACAATAAGGCTAAATGAACAAATGATGCAGTTTTGGGGTATGGCAACCTGCTACAATGCCTTCCAATTAACAGTCAAAGCCGACTGTTGGTTGTTGTGTTATCATGGCTGACACACGTTCTTTTGCTATCTGATATTTATCATAAAACTGATCGTCGTTCAATCGTTCAATCGAGACTTCGAAGAGAAATAACATCACAGAGCTACCATTTGGATACAAGGGCATCCTCAGAGGAAATTTGAATGTTGGATACAGGCACAACGATAGCGATTTGCATCGAATTCTGTGGTGCATTACACGAGTTGGCCTAAATCGTCGCCAGGTTGGCTTTGCAGCTTGGCATGGAGTTGGACTCGGCCTTGACAGAAAACAAAGTTTGTCACTTTTGGTGGCCTTGCTGATAATTGGAGGAGATGTTAGCCAAAATCCAGGCCCAAGACAGCGATGCCATTGACCATTGTGCAAAACGCATGTTAGAAAAAGTGACATACAGTGTGTTGGTTGTGATTAGTGGGTACACCCGAATGTGTTAACCTCAGAGAGCAAGAATACAACCGGTTAAATAAAAATGATGAGCAGCGGTATTGTCCAGCTTGTTACGAGGAAGCAGCCCAGGAAAACGAATTAGATGATATGTTTGCAAACCAGTGGACAGAGATGAACGTGCAGGGCCTAAGGGTTGGACAAATAAACTGTTGCAGCTTGATTGGAAGATTTGCAGATATAAACATGTTACTACAAAATTGCAATATAGATGTTTTGGGTATTTCTGAAACCCATCTCAATCAAAGAATTGAGGACAAAGAAATTGCAATAGAAGGATATGAGCTTCAAAGGTTTGATATAGAACATAAGAAGGGTGGAGGCTGTGTGGTATACTACAGAGAAGATCTAGATGTAGTTCCCAGACCTGATTTGAAGAACAATGAGATAGAGGCCATATGGGTTGAAGTAATCTGTAAATCACAAAGACTTCTCATTGGCACTGTTTACAGAGCCCCAGAAAACAATGAATTTTATGATATTTTTGATGAAGTAATCTCTAAAATTTGGCAAACACGCAGTAATTTATTGATAATGGTGACTTAAATTCAGACCTTCTACGCAAGAATGCACACACAGATTTAGGAACGCAGAGCAAAGACATCAGAGACCCTTATTGATCTAATTTTAACATCAAATGACTCAAAGATTGCAAAAGCAGGTGCCACAGAGTTGTCTATCTCTGATTACATATTAGTCTACAGCATCATAAAATTACACAGAGCAAGGCAAGAGCCTCGGATCATAAGGGTAGAAATGTACGAAAACAAAGATACAGGAAAACTTAGAGAGACAATTGATAGTACTCCATGGTGGATAGGTGACTTATTTGAAGACGTAGATGATGCGTGGAGTACTTGGTAATTACTTTACAACGATGTCATAAATGAATTTGTCAAGACAAGAAAGGTTAAAGATAGAACCAACTCATTCCCCTTGGATTACAACAGAGGTGAGAAAAGCTTTGAATAGGCGCTACAGATTATTGTGCAAATGGCAAAGGACAAAGGCTCAACATGATCATGACAGCTATAAGAAAGCAAGAAATTTTGCAAAGAAATCCTTGAAATCAGCCGAGTCAAACTACTGGAAAGCAGAATTTCGGAAAACAGACAATTCAAAGGATTTTTGGAATACTGTAAGAAGAGTTGAGAGGAAAAGAACAAATAAGAAGATTGGTCCAATTGAAGACGATAATGTAGTGATTAAAACAGATGACACAATCAAAGCAGACTTGATTAAAGATTACTTCACTTCTGTCGGCAAAGATTTTGCTAAAAAATTACCAGCTACTCAGCAACCCAAGCATAGCTTTATTAGCAGAGTAACACCTACATTAGACATAATTGATATCGATGAAGAGCATTGCAAACCAATTGATGACCATGCACAAAAACAAAAACTTTACAGTGACAAACAATGGGGATACTCTGAAGGCAAATCAACAGAGACCCACCTTTTGCTTCTTATAGAGACATGGAAGCATATCATTGACAGAGGGGAAATTGTTGGTGCATTATTCATAGATTTTAGAAAAGCTTTTGATTCGATTGATCACCATATCTTACTTGAAAAGTTACAAGGATTTGGGATAAGTGGAAGCGCTTACGAAATCATAGAGTACTACCTGACTGATAGATCAATTTACAGGGATAAATAGGTCAAGATCACAGGCTGGCATCATTACGTATGTAGTACCACAAGGGTCTCTCCTTGGTCCCAAACTGTTTAAAATTGTGGTAAACGATCCTCCAGAAAGCATGAAAGACGGAGAAGTATACATAAATGCAGATGATACGACCGCAGACTGTGTGGGGAAAAAATTGAAGAAGTAGTAGATCATTTGAACACAATAACAAAAGAGCGCAATGGATGTTGTGTGAAAAACAAGCTAACCGTGAACACTGAAGCAGCCCGATTAATTTACAACATTCCTGCTGCAAGGGATCCCTTATCCTCAGATAACTGGATATATCTCAGCGACATATACAAGCGTCGTTTGTCACTAGTAATGCACCACATATACTACGAAAATGCACCTAAAAAGCTTACAGAAATGTTTCAAAGGCAGCACACACAGAGGACGCAATAAACACAATCTTATTATTCAAAGACCAAGAACCAAACACGGAAGAAATAGCCTTAGATATCGAGGGCCACTCACGTCGAATCTTTTATTACCAGAGGCAAAATCATGTCACAACAAAAGCACTTTTTCAAGATTGTAAACTAGATAATATTAGTTACTGCAAGGAAGCATGAGTAGAAACAAAAAAAAACAAGGATTTTATTTATTATTTGTATTAGGACTGCTTGTATGTATGTATGTATGTATGTATGTATGTATGTATGTATGTATGTATGTATGTATGTATGTATGTATGTATGTATGTATGTATGTATGTATGTATGTATGTATGTATGTATGTATGTATGACTTCTTTTGCAAAAATGCTTGAATCAGACCATCAAATTTAATCTAATTCCGTTTTTCAAATGCCCTTTGTTTGGAATATAAATGATCGAGAAGTCAGCTTTCAAAAAAGATTTTTAGACACACGCATTGCGTGTAAAATTTGATTTACGATGGCTTACCTCAACGAGGCGTTTTCCAGACTGCGTTACTATCCTACATGCTGCTGATCCAACAGGACAGGGAGCCTCTTTATCAAATGCTAAACCTCTGCACACATTAATGTAGTATCTTGCATTTTCACCAGTCGGCACCACCTAACAATAGATTGACACTAGCAGATGAACCATTAAAAACTATGAAAAATGGCGACAAATTTACTGTTTTGACAAAATCATGTCGACGAGAAATGGTAGAGCTTATGGTAGTGGATTTAAAACCCTCTACATACCTCAATGTTCGAATTGATCCTGGCCAGTCGCCCGATATCGAATGATTTTATACTTCCAAAGGCAGTACATTGCACCTGAGAAAGAAAAGCCAAGTCATGCAATGAATATGTAAGCTCAAATCTGAAAAAGCGAATGTTTTCTCTAAACGGAGAAGAAACCAGTAAAGAGTTGGTCGCTAAAACGCTTCCCTAAAAAGTATTAACGACGCATAAAGACAAAAAGGGCAGGCTGAGCTGTACAATGTAGCAGAATGGAACTAGGAATTTATGTGAAGCTATGAAGTTATACTGATATACTTTTGAAGTTATACAAATATTGACTTATGGCTGGAGGAAATTCGGTATGATACAAGACATGGCTGAATGTACAAGACTACGCTTCCTTTCTGTGCCAATTTCAAATGCTGTCTCTCTAGACACACGCCGCGATGCATAAATTCATCTGAGAGCGTACCTTGCAATTCAGCTTCCACGAGCGGATACCAGACTCAATTTCAAATGAAAACCGACAAGAAAAGTTTGATCCAACTTAGTTGGATACGTTACCTGTGTTTCACAAACGTATTTTGTTCTCCAGATAAATACTGTCGTACATTCTTCAAGCGATGACATTAAAATTGGCCTTCCATCCCCTTCTTCCGGCGCACAGACAAATGTTATCAACACTTCTCTTTTGCAATTGCATTTTTCACACTTTTCACCGTTCGTGTATTTTAGTGTAAGAACTTTATTGTACAACACTGTCTCATTGAAGTTTCCTGCATTCATTTTGTAGCCTGGGTCCGCCTTTTTCAGCCTGCAAGCCCCTGAGGTTGCTCCACATTTTCTTCTCACTAGCAAATAATTCAAAACGGAATGTAATTTTAAGGCTCTACTTACGGGGTTTAGAAAAGGCCACTGTTATATACCGGCTGAAAGTAATCTAGATACCAATAAATGATCTCTGCTTTCAAACCACATTAACAGAACCACAAAAATATGGTTAACGAAAAAAATGATAGGAAATAACATATTTTTGCCAAACGGCATATTATTGCTTTGAAACGAAAACGTAAAACCTAGTTCAATCAACATATATGATTTTGAAAGATAATTGGGGACCACGCTGAAACGGTCAATTAGGAGAAAAGGAGGTTTTGTACCAGGCCTTTCAAAACTATTCATTTAGCGATAGGCAAAATACGGTTACATACGCTGCTCGTCCTGGAAAGCACCACAAACACGAATATTGAAGTAGCCTCCTTGGGCGTCATCAACTTGTACTTCAGGTCGCATCTTAAGAGGGGTGAGGTCGATGACATTGCCAGTGACTGGGTTGACAACCATGCAGTTAGAGCCAGACACTTTTCTTTGCTTGTTAATCGGCAGGGCCACAGATGACGTCCAGGTGAACTCATGAAAGCACCCGTTAGCATTTATTAATACAGGCTCGCCAATACCCTTTAGACAGCAAATGAAATCAAAGGATAAAATCACGAGAGGGGTTATATAGATCGGGGTATGGTTATAAAATGTCTGGATAATTCTCTCTAATAACAGGATAATAATATATAAACTGGCCATACTGTGATCTAATAAAACATTTCTCTGTGTACCATTCTTCAACTAGGGATGTTTTTCATGAAGATGACTCTTATTTGGCAGTAAAGGGATTTACTATAATATAACTGAAAAGGTCGAAATAGCCCTTAGCTTATTACCAAACAACAAAACGGCAAAAAACCAAAATCAGGAGAGCCAATTAAAAAAGATCATTACCCTACTATTATTAGAATGTAAGAAAGACAACAGCAATTGCAAATGAGAGGCTGAATGAACAAAAAGCCAAACGATCCAACATTTTACCCGACATTTTTTCGCACAGATCGAAAAGTTGCATCCCCCATCAAAGCCTCGGCCTAAATTAGCCCCCCCCCCGCACTTTCTTTAGCTTCTCTGTGCTATAGGATCTTCATTGGCGCTCCTTTGTGCTATAGGATCTTCATTGGCGCTTTATGCCTCTTGGGAATGAGTTATATTTCGTTATACTAAAGTATAATTCATTGTAAGCCAAGCCGAATGTTGAAACGAACAAAACCAACTCGAGAAATCAACAATTGCGATGAATGAAAATCATCTTCTATAGCATTTTTAAATAATTAAAATAGGTGCCGATTCTATTTTCCTTTGCCATAGCCTTTTTGCCATATCTGCCAGTTTCAATATGTAAGTTATGAGAGCCGAGTCTTAGTTTGCAAAGCCTATTTATTGATTTTCGTACTTTTGGGTTAATATATCTATTCTTAGGTAAAAAGGCCTGTTATTTTCATTTCTGAGGTTAGTTTTTACGTTTAGAGAGAAATGAATGAGTTATTGGCGATCTTTTACGCCAAAATTCGCCATCTTGGTTTTCAGAATGAGTAGACAGTGACGTCACGGGAGGGACCCGATCGCCTCCTCCTTCGAGTTTTTGTATCGTAGTCAATGAGGGAAATCTAACAGGTCCACGATGCGCGATATTTCCAGAGAAAGTAGTGGCAGCGAGGATAAGATTTTTGAAGGTAGCGCTTACATTGTTAAAATAACGAGTTCCTCCCATGACGTCACAAGAGAACGGCGAATGATGATAAAGCGACTTGGCTAGGCCGCACTATTTCGCTTAATTTCAATATAAAAACGCTTTTATTTCAAAAAAAAGGTTCAGATCTACTATAAGAGCAGTGCAACGCTTCAGTTAAGAGAATAAAAAAAATCATGTCACAGGCACTTTAAACATGAAAGCTGGCTTACATAGTGTAAAGATTTGAGTTACATTATTGATAAGGCTTTTGATTTCTCTATGATGTTTTAGGCGACGTGTTGCTGCACACTACATGAAAATACAAAACACAATCAATTTCGCAAGACAGCTGCCGCTAAGCTTGCCGCTTGAGCAAGTACCTTTAAACTAAATTATAGTTTCACTGTCATTGATGTTGCCAAATACAATTCGTTCCTTGGCATCTGAAACGCAGGGTCTAAACCACGTTTTGCATATCACTGTTTGGTTAAGAAGGGTGGTATGGCGTACTGCAAAATTGGATGCAAAATTGAAAGTGAAACTTGATTATGGCTATATATTTTTACAAAGTCGAGATTTTCTACCGAATTCTGCACATATAGCATCTGAGGTAGTCGTAGATTTGACCCCAAGCACATTTCTCCAAGTATGCAGGTGTAGTTTCCAAACATGGCCGTTCATTTGGCCCGCAAATCTCGAAAAATAGTTCAAATAATCCTTCCATTATACTAGAGCCGTAGAACAAGAGCATATACTTTTGGATCCAACCATGCCAGTAAAACCATCCCATTCCTTACTTTTCAAGTAATGTGCAAATATGATTTGATTTGCTTTTGTATTAAACGCTTCAGTATTTCACCTTCAGGGCAGGCATTAGCTTCAAGACTTATATTTGATCTCAGCTTAGACAAGAAAGAAGAGCCAAGGGGTTTCCTACGCGGGTTTCCAGGGGGGGGGGGGGATTCCAGTGGACATTTCTACTTTGGTCAGCATGGCAAATGACACACAAGAGCAAAAAGCACTTCAACTGCAAAAACGCTCTAGGTCCAAGAACCAATTAAAACTTACTGCATCATTATCAGGGGCAACTAGCCTAATCTTTGACGAGAAGCGTTGATTTCCAGCACAGACGTCTCCACCAGTGTACTGAAGTACTATGTCCGTCCCTTCTTTGTACGGTGCTCGAGAGAGGGATCCAAGATTCAATCTACGGTGAAAGTTTCACAAGAATACGCTAGAGTAAGCAACTGGTCTATGGCTAAAGAGAGCACATGTATTCACCGATTAAACTTACGGCCTCTTTAACATGCTGGTTCTCGCGCAAGACATTCGAAAGATCTTCGAAATATTTGTCCAAAACGAGGATAAAGTTGACAGAGTATTTGGAAGTCTGATACATTCTTAATTAAGAAAAAGATACTAAATTTGCGATATTTTGTTTTTAACAGAAGTGACAGCACACAATATGACCGACGTTTGTGCAGAAACAAGGATATTTAAATTGACAAATAAGCATATTGAATAAAAAAGCTTTTTGGAATTGGCAGCTAAAACAGGAAGTTTCCGTCGAATCAGTGATTTCAGTAAACACTTGCAAGATCTAAATGAACTGGTAAATGTTTGTTTGCTCGTTTGTTACAAGACTCTGAAATTTTGATGAGACATATGTTAGGCCCTAAGGCTATTTTGATAAATGTAAATGGAATCGACTAGCTTACGACATATACCTCAAATAGGGTAACCGAGGCAGAGGAAATATACTTTTGCATTGAAAGAAAAAGTCCTCTCCTGATTCTTCTATCTATATCTAGGCAAAGCTTTGTTAGAGGAAGCTTGAGGTATACGAGCAAAGTGAAAATAAACAACTTAACCAGAAAACTTACTTTTGCGATCCTCGGATCATGCAGATTCCGGATTGATGTGGACAGCCTGCAGTGTCGTCGTTTTTCGTCTTGACTATATTCCTGCATACGTTAATATAAATTTTGCGTTCGACTGGGTAGCCTACTCGGTCAGTGTCAATCAGAGCCCGCCAGTTCGTATCCCATCTTGACAATGGCGATAGGTCATACATTTCATCTTGTGCTTTGTCATTGACGAAGAGACTGCATTCAATCTTGTAATGCGGCAGGCACGCTGCTTGTGTTTTCCATTCAAATTCGTACCTAAATACATAAATCAAACTGTATAGTAGTTTTGACACTTTCTAATAGTTACAAATCCTAGACAAATTCTTTACAAAAGTTGACAAAAGATTCTTTACAAGAGTTATAAAATGTATAAAATACCGCTAATCAGGCCAAACGTGGCAAAAATGTTAAGGTTAATGTAACCAGTAGGTTTTGACGATGAAAGAATATTTCTAAGGAGATTTTCTAGCATGGATCTGCTGCCATTGATTTTCTGTCTTATATGTCTTAGGAATTCGTCTTCCTTTCATCAGCATTTCGACAAAGAAGCGTCTATGCAAGAGAAAAGTAAATTAAATTTCACACAAAAATATGTTTTCCTAAATTATCCCATAGTACAGTCAGGTCTCGATAAGTGGAACCCCGGATAAGTGGAACTTTCGTTTAGTGGAACCAATTTCTCCGGTTCCTTGGATTTGCATTAACAAACCTCTTATTTTATTCGGATAAGCGGAACCCTCGATAAGTGGAACTTTCGTTTAGTGGAACCAATTTCTCCGGTTCCTTGGATTTGCATTAACAAACCTCTTATTTTATTCGGATAAGCGGAACCCTCGATAAGTGGAACTTTCGTTTAGTGGAACCAATTTCTCCGGTTCCTTGGATTTGCATTAACAAACCTCTTATTTTATTCGGATAAGCGGAACCCTCGATAAGTGGAACTTTCGTTTAGTGGAACCAATTTCTCCGGTTCCTTGGATTTGCATTAACAAACCTCTCTTATTTTATTCGGATGAGCGGAACCCTCGATAAGTGGAACTTTCGTAAAGTGGAGCCATATTTTTGGTCCCATGAGTAATAGTTATTCGAATAAGTGGAACTTTTCCAAAAAAATCATCTTAAAGGGGCTGGGTGACCTGTAAGGCCACGGGACAATGTTGTTATTTTCAAGCTTGTGGATGGGGTGAATCCACCACAGCAACTGAACTGATATTTGGTAGGAAAGTGTATCGCCGCGCATCGTGAAGATCTTAATGTTTATGACACAACAGATATTGATTTTGCATCCCCAAATACATGTAAATTTATTAAAAGCATATATTTGGGGAATTTTGAATGGACCAGTCCATGAAGAAAAAGCCTGTTTGCATTTAAGCGGGCAAGAAGAAGAGAGCTTTATATAGGGCCGTTTGACTGAAAGGACAGATACGTGTTTATTTTCAAGCACAGGTCCATGAACAGTGAAAATTGCTGAAGACAACTGGAAAATTCAAAAACGACTCAGACCTGGCAGCTTATCTGATTTCACTGGAATTCAAGCGACAGAAAAGGTAGGCCTACTCTACGTACTGAAACATTCTTTAAAAATTTTGTTTACAGTTACGTGACCTAGCCCCTTTAAGCACGTTCGAATCATTTTAATCAATACATTCTTTATTCGAATATTCTTGCGAACATTCGAAAACAAACAAAAATATATCACAATCACATTTAAAAATTGGCAGCTGTGCAGTCTTCAAAACGAAGGCTCGCCTGTTTAATTATAGTCAACAAATACAAGGCTTTAAAAGAAATTGATGCAGGCCAAAGCTATATAGTTACAGCAAAGAAATATGGTGTTGCTAAAAACAGTTTCACACTGGGTAAAAAGAAAGCAGTTGAAGGAAACAATGCTTCTAAAAAGAGAAAAAGAATGAAGACTGCGACATACGAGGAGTTGGACTCTGCCGTTTATTAATGGCTGAAAACTGCAAGATACAGCAATATTCCTATCGGCTGTAGCAAAATCATTAGAACTCAATGATTTTTATTCTTCTGATGGATGGGTGAGTCGATGGAAGCACCGATTCAATGTCAGTTTCAAAACTGTTTCAGGTAAAGCCTTGGCCATGTTAAGTATTAAACTTTAGTTTTAATTATAGTCACAAAATTTTGTTGTTGTTAGGAGGACTGGGTCATGTAACTTTGTAACCCTGTGATCTTACCTCGTGTTCTTGTTTTTTTGTTCGCATTGATATTATAAAAATGGCGTGAAGTATTGCGTATCTTTTCCGCTACTAACTCGTTTATTCACCATGATGGCTAATTCAACAGGTTATGGACCCAGGTCACGCCTGACGTCCGATGGTGATGAGAGGAAGTATGAGCTGTGGGAAGTTAAGTTTTTAGGCCTAATGAGGCTCCAGAAACTTCATAAAGTTATTCTCCTGGAAGAGGAAGGCGGCGTCAGTGATGACGAATTGAACGGAGAGAAAAATGCAGAAGCATTTGCCGAGTTAGTACAGTGCTTGGATTACAGAAGTTTGTCTTTAGTGCTGCGGGATGCCAAGGACAAGGGTATAGATGCTTTAAAGATATTAAGAGAACATTATCTTTCGAAAAGAAAACCAAGAATCATTTCTTTGTACACAGAGCTAACTTCACTCAAGAAAACAGATGAAGAGAGTGTCACAGATTACATAATCCGTGCTGAAACAGGTGCTACATCTTTAAAATCAGCTGGTGAAACAATCAGCGACAGCTTTCTTATTGCAATGGTGTTGAAGGGGCTACCAGCGAAATTTAAACTGTTTTCAACTGTAGTTACTCAGAAGGACAAAGATCAAACTTTTACTGAGTTCAAAGTAGCCCTGAGAAGTTTTGAAGAAACTGAAAAAGCCTACTGTGAAGAGCCAAGAGACAGTGTAATGAAGTTTTCCAAGCGATTTGGTTCTGGCACACGAAGAAAGCCTATAGTGTGTTACACATGTGGCAAACCAAACCACAAGTCAACTGACCCAGAATGCCCTGAGTATGGTAAGAAGAAGAAATGGTGTCATTATTGTAAAACCAATACACACAATACAGATGTATGTAGAAAGAAGAAAGACTCTGTGAAATCAGTTGCAGAATCAGCTGCAAAAGAAAGCCCTGAACAACACTCTTTCATTTTCAAAATTGGTTGCAGCCAAGATGAAATATTTTGTGAGGCTTATGAAATAAAAACAGTGCTTGTTGATTGTGGTGCTACGACACATGTTGTGAAATACAAGTCGTATTTTATAAATATGGACTCAAACTTTGACTCAGAAAAACATTTCATTGAACAAGCTGATGGGAGCAGAATAAGAAATACTGCACAGGGAAGAGGAGATGCACGTATCTGTCTAATAGACTCTGATGGTAATGAACAAGAAGCAATTCTAAAAGATGCTCTTTTTGTACCAACATTCAAGCAAAACATCCTATCTGTACATTCTATCAGTCCAAATGGCAAAAATTCAATATAAAGAAGAGTGGTAGACTTTATTACCTATGTAGTACAGTCTTGACAAAGAGTACATCACACACCTTGAAAGAATGGCATGAAATAATGGGACATTGTAATTCAAGAGATATTATCAAATTGGAAGGTGCTGTAGATGGTATGAAGATTACAAGTAATATAAAGATAGTTTCCAATGTGACATCTGTACAGAGGGTAAAATGACACAGTACAGAAACAGAAGTCCAGATAAACGTGCCAATGCACCACTGGAGCTGGTACATGTTGATCTGGCTGGACCGATAGAACCTGCAGAAAGAAATGGCTTCAGATATGTGATGTCTATTGTAGATGATTACTCAAGTCTGATCATGGTGTACTTTCTGAAAAGAAAGAATGATGCCATTCATGCAATGGAAAAATTCTTAGCAGATGTTGCAGTCTATGGAACAGTCAAGAGGATGAGATGTGACAATGGAGGAGAATTCACAAGTGAGAAGTTTAAACAGCTATTGATAGAAAATAAAATAAAACAGGAAATGAGTGCACCTTATTCTCCTCACCAGAATGGAACAGTGGAAAGGTCCTGGAGATCCATTTTTGATATGGCAAGGTGTCTGTTATTGGAATCTACACTGCCAAAGTCACTATGGGTATATGCTGTGATGACAGCAGTATATGTGAGGAATAGGTGCTATAATCCAAGAACAGAGAAGACAGCAGTGGAGGCATTCACAGGCCATAAACCTAACATTGGTAATATGAATACATTTGGCTCTGTGTGCTTTGCATATACACAGAACAAGACAAAGTTAGATGCCAGAAGTGAGAAAGGCATATTTATTTGGTATGACAAAAACAGTCCTGCTTACTTGATTTACTTTCCAAATAGTGGCAATATTAGGAAAGTACGATGTGTGAAATTCAGTACAAGTTCGTATGAACAGGCCATTGACACAGAAGACATAGCTATAAGAAGAGAGAGACAACCTGACCAAGATGAAAAAGTTGAATTGCAGGAAACAGTTGAACAGTCTGCTCAGTTAGACCCTCCAGGTGAAGGCAGCCAGAGAAAGGGACACGAAAGGAGATACCCAACAAGAGAACGCAAACAGCCAAAATATTTCAAGGACTATGTAACTGAATCAGATAATACTGGTTATACAGTTGACTTTTGTTATGCTATGAGTAAGGATGAAATGCCAACAACCTACGACGAGGCACTAGTTTCTAGTGAAGCAAGTCACTGGAAGACTGCTATGCAGGAAGAAATGTGTGCACTGAAAGATAATCAAACATTTGATCTTGTTAAATTGCCTGAGGAGAAAACATTAGTTGGAGGAAGATGGGTTTATGCTAAGAAAATTGGCCCCAACAATGACTTAAAATATAAAGCCAAGTATGTTGCAAAAGGTTATTCTCAAACTCAAGATGTAGACTATAATTAAACTTTTTCACCAACAGCTAGAATAACTTCAATAAGGATGCTAATGCAACTTGCCAGCCCCAAAAAAATCTCATTGTACATCAGATGGATGCTAAAACTGCATATTTGAATGCACCAATTGACTGTAAGGTGTATGTGGAACAACCAGAGGGATATACAGTGAATGGTGAAAAGGGTGAGCGATAAGTTTGGAAATTAAACAAATCCTTATATGGGTTGAAGCAAAGTGGGAGAAATTGGAACACATTTCTTCACTCTCAGTTTATCAATGATAAGGTCACACAGTCCCTTGCAGATCCTTGTGTATACACTAAGAACACTGGGGGCACGATGATAATAATCATTGTATGGGTAGATGATATTATCATTGCCAGCAGCAACATGTCTTCACTCAATGAAGTAAAAAGTTTTCTTTGCCAAAAATTCAAGATGAAAGACCTAGGAGAAATTGGATGGTTTTTAGGCATACAGTTCAGCAGAGAAGGTAACCAAATTACAATGAATCAAACTGAATACATTAAGAGAGTGCTTGAAAGATTTCACATGACAGATTGCAAGACAAGAAGTACTCCTTGTGAAAGTTCATACAAGGAAAATGAAAATACATCTGATCCAACTGATTCCAAGTTGTATAGAAAGATAGTTGGAAGTTTGATATATATCATGACTTCAACTAGACCTGATTTGTGCTATGTTGTCACCAAATTAGCACAACACATGGCAAACCCTACTTCAGCTGATGAGACCATGGCAAAACATGTATTACGTTACCTTAAAGGAACAATGAGTCAGAAATTGATATTCCACAAATCTAAAGACGAAATGCATTTATTCGGATATTGTGATGCAGATTGGGCTAATTCTGAAGACAGAAGAAGCATTACTGGCTATGCATACCAGTTAGTAAGCAACGGACCCATGATATCCTGGAAAAGTAGAAAACAAAGAACAGTTGCTCTATCTACCTGTGAGGCTGAGTGTATGGCCTTAGCAGAAGCAACACAGGAAGCAATATTCTTAATGCAGTAATTGAAAGACATGACAAACTCTACTTTATATGAAAAGTTTGTACTGCAGTGTGATAACCAAAGTGCAATAGCTCTAGCTAAAAATGCTATGGTACATCAAAGATCAAAACATATAGACATAAAATATCATTTTGTTAGATCAATAGTTTCAGAAGGTATTATGGATCTGATTTATGTTCCAACAGCGAAGAACATTGCTGATGTCTTTACAAAGCCAATTGCCAGTTTCAAGCTCAAGAAATTTATTGCAGTAATGATGGGAATATAAACTTGAACTATTTGATAACATTGCGTTTTGTTGTTCTTCATATACTAGAATTTATAATTATATATACTACATAAAGTTTAAGTGGGGGTGTTAAGTATTAAACTTTAGTTTTAATTATAGTCACAAAATTTTGTTGTTGTTAGGAGGACTGGGTCATGTAACTTTGTAACCCTGTGATCTTACCTCGTGTTCTTGTTTTTTTCGTTCGCATTGATATTATAAAAATGGCGTGAAGTATCGCGTATTAATTCCTCTACTAACTCGTTTATCCACCATGATGGCTAGTTCAACAGGCCAAACTGGGCAACATTGTTGCCCGACAATGTTGCTCGAAATTTTGTTAATTTTTTGTCGCCGAGACATGGTGGCCAAACTGGGCAACATTGTCGTGCAGCATCTTTTGATGATGTTGTCAAAACAGCGTGCCAAATATGATCTGATATGTGGTTTTCCGCGCCATATTTGATTTTGAGCAAAATTTTGGATAAGTATGGCAGATAGAAAGCAAGCTGCAGCTACTGGAAGCTGATTTTGACATCACAACAACTTTGTTGCTTAGCACTCTATGGTCGAGCACGCGGGTAGCATTTGGCTGATTTGTTTTTTCAAAGAGCTTGCATTTGGATTTGTTTCAGATGAGACCTTTTATTCTTCCTAAACTATTCTTCCACTCCATGTTTTTCTTCCCATTCGTTACAATCAACTTGAAAGCTTAAACTTTGACAGGACAATTTGTTGAATCGAGTAGAGCAAACTGTTTTGCAATACATCACTGTGCAAGTTGGATTTTCTCAGATGGAAAATTAAGGTGAATTGTTGCCCGACAATGTGGCCAAACTGGACAACGTAGAGCTGAGCAAAAAAGGTTGCCGAAAAATGTTTGAGCATGTTCAAACATTCGAGCAACAAATTTCTTGATGAATTTGTCGGCCGATACGGTGGCCAAACTGGACAACATTTGAGCAACATTAGGAATTTGTGAATGTTGCCCGACAATGTTGCCCAGTTTGAACAACGCTTAACTAAATATATTTATATTCCATATATAGCATAGGAGAAAAATGTACCTGCCATGCGCGCAATGAATCACAGGGGTTACAGCAAATGTCAACACTGCTCACGCAACATTTCAGGACGAAAACACCACATAGTTTTGAATGATTAAAGATTCGTCGATAGATCGACATATTCAAAACAAAGGCAGCACAAAAGTTGCATGGTTGTTCTAGCAACAAATGTAACTAGTTCTATTGCCATAACATAGATGACACTTTAAAAAATAGGCATTAAGTGTGTCTCGACTAAAATTTCAAACTGATGCAAATACCAACCTGGAAATGCATTTGCATACAAGTACATATTTTTACACACACCACAAAAGAATAAAATACATAATTTAGATGCAATAAGCAGAAAAGGGCGAAAACACACCAACCTTTAGAAAGTTGAGGACATTTTGCAACCAAAGTTTGAAGAATCCAGGAAAATGTACACGTTTTCCCCATTAATGATAGGAAATGAAACATCCAAAAGCTGTTTTGTTAGGCAATGAAAATCACTTGAAAATTGTCAAGCACTAGTGGTACAATCCTTGAACAAAAATTGCCAGAGAAGAGGTTCCGAAGAAGACATGTCCCTTGACCAAAGATAAATAAAAATGCGACTTGTGCTAAACACGTGCACTACACAACATGTCTCCCGAAACCATTCCAACAACCACTGAACAAAATCTTCAAAATTTTACAGTTGACTTCAAATTGACTTTCCCAAAAGAGGAAGCCACTCAATGCAATGCTATTATAAAATTAAAAATTAGTGATTGAGAAATAAAAAGCCCACAGTTTCAAATGCAAACCTTTGAATCAGTCTAAAAATTTAGATTAGCCAAGTAACTTTGTAATCGATAAGAAATGATTTTAGAGAAATTGTCGCGAGAAAAACTGTAACCTACCGAAAAATCTAGCTTTTGCTACAAAAAGAAACTATTGCCAAAGTAATTGCCAAGCATCAAGGTTGCCTATTCATGGAAATTTTATAGGGACCCGCATCTCATTTGACAAATTTTCTCCCTTAGGCGTGGTCTACATTTTTTCAAACAATAATGTTTTTACGTAATATTTACATTTTTAACTAGGTATTCTACGGCGTCAGCAAAATTTGCAAATTTTTCCCGCGAAATTTGCTATAAAATATGCCTATTACAGCCAATTCATGCATTCAAATGTCTTGTATTGTAAAAATATTGACAAAAAGTGCCGCCATTTTGAACAAGGTGGTGCAATACTTTAGTGAGGGGAGTGCATTTATTGTAAATTTGTAGAGCCTTTGGAAGTTGTTCTTTCAAAATGTTTATAAAACTTTCCTCAGCCGCAGAATATAACTTGCAAGGCACCTTCACTCTATTTCCATCTCCTTGATTGATCGCTTGTCCAACAACTTCGACGGAGCAAGTGTTTTGAGTCACAGGCTCGTAGGAAGTAAAAAACCATTTTTGCAAATCTTCCTGTTTTTCCTTTTGGTAGATAGCCGACCAAAAAGTCATTTTTCATGACTGCAACAGCAAATTTGTCTGTTTCTTTCCCCCTGCTTTTCATTATTCGTAAATGCCCCGTTCTCCAGAGAAATCAGACAAGGAAGAATTTCGATAAATGGAACTTTTTTTCGGTTTCAGGGAGGTTCCACTTATCGAGCAATTTGGACAAGTGGAACATTCGATAAATGAAACCATCTTCTTCAGTCCCGTGGAGGTTCCACTTATCGAGAGTAAACTGTATAGGTCTCAACATTATTCGATACCGAAGCTAGCATACAGAGCCGTAAAAAGCTCCATTAAAGAGGAAGTTAAATTAATACAAAGAGTATCAAAATGATGTCATTCTAGTAGTGATTAAACAACTAGGATAGACTGGAGATGGCTTCAAAAACAGCATGAAACGCCGAGTTTTATTGGTATTGGTGTAGGTAGTTTATCATTGGGCCTCCACAGTTTATTCGGTATTTTGCAAATGTTTAGTCATAAAAAAGTCTCTTCAAGATGTTTAAAGCTGTTTTTCAAAAGTTGTCTTGATCTGACCGTTACTGAGATGATCCAGGGTAAGAATAAAATCAGTGCTTGTTGTTTGTCCCGTTGGAGAGCGCTTATCAGAGTCTCAGAACGGCATAAAACAGGTTATTTAACCAGAAGCTTTCGACCAAGTCCTCAATTCTATCACTATCTCAGCTACGACGTCGATACGCTCTCACAAACAATACCTCCTAGTATGAATCTATATTTTATAGAAGACTCTTTAAAATGTTAAATCTTTCCATGTTTCCATGTGGATCAATGATGAATTGCAATCCGTGCTTATGACAAAGGAATCGCGATGCTTGCTATCACCACCAGGAAGTAAAAGAGCTTCTTTTTCACAACTGTTTTTGTCGATAAACTAAATTTATTACCTACCAAAAACTAAAATGTAATTTCAAGCGGTTTATGCAGCTTATGAACAGCACAGTTGTTATATTTCCTTTCAGTTTTTCTTCTTATTGTGAATTTGAACTCAGCAGACAACAAACATGACATGTGCAAATACTTATGTTGACCAGCAGAGTTGTATTAAAGGATGATGACGTTATGGTAAGGCAGAAGGTTAAGCTTACCAGACTTACCTTTGCAACTGTAAAAGGTTCCGCCCCCTGATGTCAGTTGTCAGTGACAAAGTATCTTCACCATTGTGACACACAAAGCGTATTTTCGTGGATATCGTCTCGTGTTTGTAATCGACCACGAGGTCTCCATTTGATAGTTTCAATACGTTGTTTGTTTCACCAATGTTAGTTGTTGCTTTTCCTATAAAAAAGCAGAACTGTTACCACCATGCTGGGTGCTCCGAGGCAACAAGTGGGGGTGCTCCGAAGAGAGAAGTATGAGGAGATAGCCCCCTCGAAAGCAATGGAAAAGGCTTGCTGGCGCATTAAAATATGGCAAAAAAAGAAGTTAAGTATTGCATATTGTTGAAAATAAAAAGGATTGTCATACTTTCGAGCAGAAACATGAAAAGTTTGTGTTTTGGAAATTTTCAAAATTCTGAATGTACCTGACATTAAACAAGCTCCAAAATCTCCACATTTTGTTTTGCCGCAAGGACGGAGTGCGAACTTTGAACCGTTAACGATTACTTGCTTCTCAGGAAGATCTGATAGATCGAAGACATGATTGAAAACATTGTCTTCAACTTTGCAGCTTGATCCGGCGTCGTTGATTCTCGGGCATGCACTGGGCGTTAGCCAATTGAAAATATAGCCACATTCTTTTGTCTCCGTTAGAAAGACCGGTGAACCCTGGTAAAAAAGGACAAAATATTCACTTAAGACAGCACTAACCGAAGAGCTCACAAATTACCCCTACCCACCACTTCCAATGTCACTCCAGAACTCACAAATTATTTCACTTGGTGGAACGGATACAAGGCATTACCTCTGTAGAGCTGCAGTGGAAGAATATCTGAACACTTCGATTATGTTTGCTGTGATGACAATACTCTCCGTTGGAGTATCTTATCAGTACGGTCTTGTTTTTGACCTTCGGCTGACTTGTAACGTAGCCAATACGATGACCTAGTAATAGAAAAGAATGCATGGTGAGAAGGCAGTTTCAGTAGTAGGAAGGACATAAAAACAAGTAATTTTTAATCGCGAGAAAGGAAACACAATTTCTAGACATTTACTCAGCATCCGGAGCACAACTCAGTACTACGCTATAGCGGAAAAAGATTGAAATAGGATGTTGGTGGCTGTACGATCAGTAAAACTTGATCAACAGAAATCTTTAGTTACAAACAGAATTAGAAAGCGGAAAGGATGAACATGAAATATCTTTATACCAACCACATATATAAAAAGCATGAAATGGGTAAAAGAAGATGGAGAGCATTCAGATGGGAATAATTCCCTTATATAGTATAACGTTGCATAGTCCTGATATCTAGCCGTTTGTTAGGATAAATGATAACATCATTGTATCTGTAATTTTCCCTGCAATTATTATTAGAATCATGTTGCAAAAGTCGGCTTCATTAATTGAAAAAAGAGAAAAGCGGCAAATAACTATAAAGACATGTAGATATATATTATTTCCCATTAAACATAATAATACTTACTTTTATGTATTGATTTTACCTTCAATTTGCATTGTTAACTTTAAATTTGTACGTAGGCCTTAATTGGCTGTAAGTAAGCCATCTTTTAGCAGCCTACTGTAAATAAACTGATTATTATAATGATTTTTAATTATTCTATCATTCCTAAGGCTTAAATTTACTAACCGACTTGTTTTCCCGAGTTGTAATCCACCTGACAAGCTGCTATGGAACCACTCGGACATGCGGCTGGTTTTTTAACCATCGGCTTACAAACATTCATGAAATAATGGTGTTTTTGCCCGCTGGACTCTTTATTCAAGGCAGTCCAATATCCTATGAAAAGAGCATGCAAAATACTGAAAGGTAATTTATGTTGAACTACGTAACATGTTTACTGATGATGCAGCTAGACATTTTGAAAAAAGGCGACCAGCCAGACAGCTTTAGAAATTTACTTAGAGAAGACGTTTGTCACCGAGAATACAAGCAGCATTACCAAAGAAGAAAACACACAAAAATAACATATCAACGCTGCAACATTAATAGTGGTAAAGAAGGACTGCATGCTCATAACTCTATTTAAGCGACTCTTTAGAAAACTTAATCAGACACGCTTTTATAGTATACTCTAAGGAAGATTCCGGCTATTCATTTCAATCATTCACTTCATTGCAAATTCTTTAGTCATGGTAGCTCCATAAGCCATTTACTACTTTACAGGAAGCCGTTAAATTATTTGCAGTTTTAAAACATACGCTAATCAATAGCTAAAATTATGGAATTTAAAAGGAAAGGCAAAACTATCACGTTTTACTCTTAATCAGTTTTAAATTTTGACATCACCTTTGGTTTTAATTAGCGGTTCCAGATTGTAAAGGGCATTATCCGGTCCGAAAATTCTGCACTGAACTGGATCTGGGACACAAACGAGTGACGTTTCAAATTTGAATGAAAACACGTTGTCTGCAAAATTATCAAAAGTTGGTGAGCCAATACCAATTTTTCTGTTACAGAAGAAAGTTATCCTTGTGCTGAGTTTGTAGCCACTATCTTGCCTTTCGCCATCCCTGTAACAAGAAAAAAGCGCGATTTCGATATAATCATGGACAGCGTAAGAGCCATAGTACTAAACAATAAATTATTATAAAAGGTATAAAAAGGATATTAAAGCTGTTTACTTGTAGTCAAGGGTTATTGTCCCTTCACTGTACTTTAGTTGCTGTGAGAGGACACCAATGACCGGATTATTATCCTTAACGCCGGTCAATTTACAGGCAGCAGGTTGCACTCCAGACGACTGGTCGTTGCATCCTGCCCCGGAAACATTTCCACAGATATTGAGAACAAATGTGTCTCCACCATTCCTGACACGATAGAATCCGGCCACTCTTCGTAATGATGTCAAGTTGAAAATGTATTTAGAGACCGGATCCTGGACAGAGCAGCTGCCCTTTCCTCCAGTATTTGACGTCTCAGTAGAACATGCATGCTCTGTTTCCCATCTGAAAGCAATGTTGCACGAATCCGAATTATCCAAATCTAGCACAGGGCTTCCCTTAAAAGCAAAAGTAAATACATCTAGCGAAGAAAATATGAAAAGAAAGAGTTATTTACTTATCAAGAGGAACTTATTTGCAACTCATGGTCTCGCTGAAAACTCGTTTATTAGCCCATGTACGAAGGCAAAAGGCATAAAATTGAAATTCTTGCAGTTGAAGATACTTCAACTAATAATCTTAGAATTCGGCATCCATCTCATGTCCTTTAAAAAGTCGTAACAAATATCCTTCAAAAACAGGCTTTAAAAAATTGTTTTTGCCAGGATTGCATGCAACAGTAAATAAAAACAAGAATTACAACTTTTAAGTGAATTACCTCCGCAGCATCACTTTTACAAATAAAACGAATTACTGTAGACATGGTTTTATTTTTGCCACACCAACTACCGTTTCTGTAAGTCATAACAAGATCACCATTAGATTCCACCACCGGCGAAGCTTTAATAGTGCCTGGCATATAAAAACTCTGTATATAAAAGCTCTGTCAGGTATTATATGGCCATGCTTAAACATAAAAGTATATTGCAACATACATTTTGATACACAATCTGGATCCATTCTAAAACAGGTACTGAAGGTTTACGCTCACACCACCATTCTTGTTGGCCACAAAGGCATCGAGAGGATATCTCAGTAATTAGGGCCACGGACTACTGTTTTAAGGTTCTCTAGTTTTGGTCACAGAAATGATCAAACAAGCGCTTAGGAAGAAGAGAGTCTTCTGCTCTCTGTAACTCCAGACATAAGAATCACGCATTTTGCTTATATGAACAGGAAGAACCAGGTAACTTAATTAATTTAATTTAATAAGCATAATTTAATTTCTCAGTGCCCTAAAAACACTTTTTGGAAGCTAGGTAGTAACAGAAAACAAATTAAAAATTCTTTCCATTGTCAAAAATTCATGTGATTTCTAGTTGCTATTCTGATGTTTCTTATTATCTATTATCTTGTTGACACCCCTTATTAGACTATTGGACCTAGTTAGATGACAAGATCTTCAAAATTCAGAAAACGTTTCGAATAGGTCTCAGTGCACCTACTTTTGTAAGGAAGGGTTGGGACCAGCCCCTACGTGAACGCTGATAGAACCATGGCGGTATGATTGTTTGGAGATGCAAAACTGTATCATGCATAGGCTAATACTAAGGGCAGATAGCAAAGTCCCCATCGGCAACAAGTTATAAAACGCGGATATTTCATTCATTAGCGGCAGATTGAGATTTACGCTGCATGTCAAGCATAATGCTATATGATAAACATTACTATCTGTCATGAAAGTGATTTTAATCCCCGAAAGTAACGTTAAATGTAAACTCACGTTAAATGTAAATTTACAGCATTTAATGCAATAGTTGATGTCACTAATGAATACCGTAATCACAAGTGGTGTGTAGTTATCTCAAAGAGAACCGATGTCTATAGCTCCACAACATGGAACAACTTTTGAGGGATTATCAAAGGTTGTGTCCGAATACGAGCTGAACATACCTAAATCCTGCTGAAAAGTCTCAACTCCATTAGAATCTACTTGGACACTGCAGACCGCGGAAGTTACAGAACAGCCAGCTGGCCTATGGAACAGCGGTTTACAAACGCTGATGTAGTATCTTTTGTTTCCATGAACTGCTACCCAGCGGTGATTGGTGGACAATTTTGATAAGTCATAACGGGCTTTGTTTGACGTGGCGCTGCATTCAACAATCTAAAACGAATCAAATTTGCTTTTGCCATTTTTTATTTATTATAAACTATCAAAGAGCAATAGTCCACGGTTCAAAGGTATGTACCACCTGGATTGGTTATTAAGAGGAGTTCGCATAAGCATGAGGCAATGTGTTTTTGGCAAAGGCCAATATCGTTTCAACATTTGTTGTAAAACTAAGAAAACTATATACCTTTGAATGGCAGGCAAACTTGGTATACCAGAGAAAGTTATAAATGCCACAAGTGATTTCCTTTTCAAATTGTGGATGACCAACTCCGGCCTTCTCATCGCAGAGGAAAGTAATCTGGGATTCTCTTATCTTCCCATTATGGCATTGATCACCATGCACGTATCTTAGCTTAAGCAAGCCGTCAAAGTATATAAGATTCGAATTTGCTTCTCCAGTCACTTGGGTCATTCCAGTCGAAGGCTTGTATTGACATGCTCCAATCTTTCTCTTTCCATCTCTCGTGCACTGCGTCTTGCTTGAGCCTTCACAAACCTAAAAGAGTTTTCGATTTAGATTTTTCAAGGGAACAACGAACGGTGAAGAGAGGCAAACCTATCATAGGTAAAGTGTCGATATAAAAGGACTGCGTATACCAAACTTGTCAAGCAACATTAAAAAACGGCTTGCAATTGGTCAGTATTCTTGCAATGCAAAACTGCTCACATAAAAAGCTAACCTCGCAACAGGGTAGACAGACAGAACGACCGTAATGGCTGGGGCGATGACATAAAAAATCACATGTTTCTGAAAATACCCGCAGACATGCTTGCTGGACACATTACCTTTAGCATGAAAATGAAGCTCTCTAATATGACGTGGTGAAAATATACTTTATTAAGCTTTGAATTTTGAACAGATAACCTAAAATAACACCACAAAATCAGCAAAATATGTCAACAATCGGGTGAGATATGGTCAATGAAGGTTCTTTTCTTCATTAAGTTGTAAACAGAGACCAAATTACTGAGTTTTCATAGGGGAAAAGCCTGTGGTCAAAACAACATAACATAACATAACATAACAAAACATACCATAACATAACATAACATAACATAACATAACAAAACATACCATAACATAACATAACAAAACATAACATAACAAAACGTAACATTACATAACATAACATAACATAACATAACATAACATAACATAACATAACATAACATAACATAACATAAGAAACATGACGTAACATAACATAACAAAACATAACATAACATAACATAACATAACATAACATAACATAACATAACATAACATAACTAACATAACATAACATAACATAACATAACATAACATAACAAACATAACATGTTTACCTTTATTTGATACTCGTATTCATTGCCACTATCTCTGGCAGCAAAGTAATCTTTCCCCTTTACAGGCCTTGCTCTGGACAATTGCGTAAGATCGAAAGAATATCCCGCAGTTGGATCAGCAACCTGACATCCATCGCCAATCACCTGCCCAAGTGGACAAGCCGCCGCTATACGTTCACAAACAATATTTTCAGACATCAAATCAAATCAACAACATTAACGATTTAATACAAAATGCAAATGTCGTTTTGCTCCTGTTCACAAACCTTCACTAAGTAAATGACATTGGTTGTTTACCAACTTATTTGAAAGATTTTATAGGACTTGGTTCTCATAATGTACGAAAAGGGTTGTCTTGAACAGATGTGAACAAATGCATTGCAAAAAACACTTGCCTGCGAAGACTCAAAAACTAGAAAAGCTAGAGAGTTCAAGTGCTCTTTTTTGATAAAAAAGGTATATTGTTGACGTTTTGAAGGATCAAAAAATGCAAAAAGGCAAGCAGCTTTAGAAACATGGGCAAGGGTGAGTCGAGGAAGAGTTGGACAAACAAGTTTATAAAACTTGGCTGGATCGAAATTATTCCTTGCCCGAATAAGCATCAATTATAAATAGTTCCCAAAAAGTCTAAAATGTCACTTTACCAAAAATCATACTCCTTATAAAATGATGATAATCTAACCCAAAACATAAAAACCATTATAAGTACTCGTGTCATACAAGGACAAAAACATTTTTTCTGACAAAAAGAAAGAAAGATACTAGTTACCAGTTTTCCAGACAAATTCATACTGACAGTCATCTTGGCTCTTACTAATCAAGGTTGGTGATGTCGACAGCTGTCCAGGATGGCATACAAAGGTAATTAAACTTTTACGTCTCTTTCTATTAGTTAGATCGCAGAATGTACCATTGGTGTATACAAGTTGTACAGAGTTTTCCACATCATTCACAAGGCCAGTCTCAAATTTTCCTAGTCCAATTTTTGAGTTTCCAGAAATGATGCAAGCGGCATTATCACTTGGACAGTCTGAAGTCACTGTGCTAGGCCTTAAAGCTCCACACACATTCAAATAAATTCCATCGAAATTGCTCGAGGTCGCATCAACAGCACTCCAGCTTTCATTGGCAACCTTCTTCAATTCCGTTAAATCATAAACCTTGTTTTTCGAGTTAACTACACGGCAAGTTTCACCTAAAAAAAAGGAGGTATTAACTTCCCTATTAATTGCTAGGACATTCAGCCGTTGCATAGATCGAGCTAGGTCATATGTTATTTAGTGGACATTTGATAGGAAAGTCTATTGGTTTCAGCACCTTATCGTACACACAAGTTCTGCACATGTTAGTTGGTTTAATACCAGTCAGTAAAATTTCACAGCACGGCTATTGGTTTAATAAATACATTAAGCATACAATCTACAAAGTTTACCTGTTTTTCTTGCTCTTGGGCAAACAAGGTTGGTAGGCCAGTCGAAGAAATAATTGCAATGACGCTCTTGATTGAAAACTGGAGAACCAGGACCTGCCGATTCATTACAATAAAACACGATAATGGTGGATCTTCGCAGTCCATTATGGCAAGTCTGACCGTGGTGGTATGTAAGGAACAGTTGCCCATCGACATATCGAAGCTTCATGAAGCTGGCTTTTCCAGCACTGACTGCCGATGTAGACGTCGTCTGGCAAACAGCAACATCGGTATCTGAGTTGTTTAAAAAACTATATTTAGACTTGTTCAGAAAAGGTTCTGCATAACATCAAAATTAAACTTACAAAAACCAGCTCTAATCACAGGCCTTTTCATTTTGGAAAATGCAATTGCAATTGATCTCCTGATAACATATTGTGATAGCAACGGGATAACAAGTTCCTTAACAGAAGTTGAAACTATGTTTGCCACTTTCTTAGGCTTCAATTCGCATGAAAGAAACCAAGATCAAAGTTTGATAATCATTGTATACACTCAATAAATCATTCGAGAGTCTATATCGTCATTTTGGGACTGTTATATCGTCATTTTGGGACTGTTATATCGTCATTTTTGGACGGTATATCATCATTTTGGGACTGTTATATCGTCATTTTGGGACGGTATATCGTCATTTTGGGACTGTATATCGTCATTTTGGGACTGTATATCGTTATTTTGGGACTGTTATATTGTCATTTTGGGACGGTATATCGTCATTTTGGGACTGTTATATCGTCATTTTGGGACGGTATATCGTCATTTTGGGACTGTATATCGTCATTTTGGGACTGTTATATCGTCATTTTGGGACGGTATATCGTCATTTTGGGACTGTTATATCGTCATTTTAGGACTGTTATATTGTCATTTTGGGACGGTATATCGTCATTTTGGGACTGTATATCGTCATTTTGGGACTGTTATATCGTCATTTTGGGACGGTATATCGTCATTATGAGGGTATATATCGTCATTAGAGGTATAAGTTTCAACTGAACTTCTTAAGTTTTAGCACTAGCTTAAGCAATAATGACTGAAATATTTTTCTTTAATGCTTAAGAAAGTTATTGTTTCTTTGCAGTCAAATCTTCGTTACAGATCTCTGTCTATCGTAGCAATACCGAAAACAATATCACATATAATTTCAATTAAAATTAAGGACCTGATATGTCAGCTGTAATATATCAGACTCCTATTTTATCACTAAAACACAGAATATACGTTACAGAATATACACTACAGAATAAACATTACAGAACATCCACCACAGAATATACATTACAGAACATCCACAACAGAATAAACACTACAGAATATCAACCACAGAATATACACTACAGAATATCAACCACAGAATATACACTACAGAATATCCACCACAGAATATACAGTACAGAATATCAACCACAGAATATACACTACAGAATATCAACCACAGAATATACACTACAGAATATCAACCACAGAATATCTACCACAGAATATCAACCACGAAAGACACACCACAGAATATCCATCACAAAATATACACCACCGAATATCCATCACAAAATATACACCACAGAATATCCACTACAGAATGACAACCAAAGAACATCCACCAAATAATATCTACCAAAGAGCATTCAACAAAGAAAAACAACCAAAGAACATCCACCAAACGACATCTATCACAGGATATCCATCACAGAATATACACCACAGAATATCAACCAAAGAATATCCACCAAAAAGTAATAAAGAAAGAATAGCCGCCTTCGTCATCCTGTTCTTGCATAACATAGATTTAAAAGGACCTGCAATTAACATATGAAGCCACCCCAAGCTAAAGCAATAGGGATATAAGAAATATAATCACATGCAGATTTAGGCCGGTTTACCACTAGTCGGAAATTTCCGCGCGCGGGAGCGGCTATTGTATTTGCATTGTTTATTTTTAACAATGGTCACTGTTAATCGCTCCGCTATGTGCGCATTTGCAAGTTGGATTGACTAAACTTTCCACCGCGTCTAATGGTGCCAACCATCAAATCATGTGAAAGATCTATCACATGGCAAATGACTAAATAAAAATAGCTGACCAAGATGAATCCCTTGTGAGATAAACGCAGAGTAAAATTTTGTCTTTGACTGCCTACACTGACTCTGTCTTTTACATATGGGTTCCTGATGTTTGTTTTTCGTTTCGAAATGTGAAGCACAACCCATCTTAAAAGAACTTCAAAATCTGTCGGGGATGTCCGAAAATATCTGAAAAAACAAATTCTTGGTCAATTTGTTTATGTACCCTTTATTTTTCTTTTGATCTTCCAAAAGTAGAAGCTTTAGTAGTTTAAGATCTCTCAGCAAGAGAAGCATCTAACGTTTGTTATTTATAGAATAGTGTTCAGGCCTATTTCCTACACTGAGAACTGAAAGTCTTTTTCTATACGGGTGCATTATTTAGAATAAAGACACTCCCCGCGCACAGAATATTGTCTAGTGGAAAACCGGCTATAAAAGGGCACTAATGCTACTCGCAGAATTTTAAACAAAGATAATTTTAGCAAATTAACCCGTACTTACTGTTATCACACGGAAAATTTTTCATATTCCCACATATGTTCAAAAAAAATGAATATTTTTTCTTTGTACTTGTTTCCAGGTATTGAGCTTTGTAAAAATGTCCAGGTTGGCGCTTCAGAGCACTAAGGTCAAACGTGCCATCTCGAGACACTATGCTACAAGTCGTTGAAATCTGCTCAGCAACAGGGCATGCGTGTTCTGTTTCCCACAACACCTCATAGTGGCAGCCAAATGTAGATTGCAATATTGGCCCATGACCACCCTAAATATATCGAAACTGTCGGCTTCAAAAGAGTTAGCTCTTTGACAAAATACGTATTATGGTGTACAGAACAGGATAGTTCTAAGTTGGCACTTCCAGCTTCACGCTTAATTCGATCATCAGACACGCACTTATCGTGAAACTCGAAGAATCAACTTAGAACCGTTCTGTTCTATACAACAAAAGTTGACAGCTCTGCAATTATGGCATCAAGCACTGGAGATCGGTAAACAGTAACTTCATTTCTGTGACATGTTACACAACTAAGAACACTGAAGAGTAGCTAGTGGCAGAACGTAGGATATGAAGTAAAAACCCGACAAACTGAAGCGTTTGCAAAAAGGTTTGGCTAGATCTAAAAAACAAAATAAGAATTTTTCTTAGGCTGCTACTGAAAATATACTCTTCTTAATGGTTGAAATTTGACTTTCTGTTACACACATTCTGTTTCTGTCGTTAAGCAAAAAAGGAAAATGCAAATAAAAACATAAAGAATCTTTAAGTGATGACGTGTATAGAATACATTTTTCAGTTTTGAATGAATGTTACGTTTTACATAAAAAAAACTAAGCAATGGCCTTAGTAAAAAAAGACTCTTCTTTTAGTCATTGGGCATATAAAAGTTTTTATAAGTTCCTGAATGAAAGTGAGTAGATAAAATGAATTGTTGGTTATTAAATGTACTACTTTTTACCAGTGGTTTAAATCGGCATCTTTTTAAGAATCAACCTCCATCTGTCATAACATTATCTGGCTTTGAAAAAAGCAAACATTTTAGTATGTCGTAAAATGTTTGCTTTTTTCAAAGCCATTTTCAAATTCTGTACCGCAAAAAAAATTAATAGTAAAATTATTAGTACTAATAACATTACTTATATTATTCACTAGGCAAGTCAATAAAAAACTAAATGTGATAAGTGTGGTTTAAACTTGTTATAAGTGATTTCATTTTACGATAATTAAGTGTTATTATGTAAACCAGGCAAGCAAGTTGCAAGCTTTTAGTGCAACAGAGAGGGCTCTGCTTGTTTTTTAGTGGATGATAGGGCTCCTGGTTAACATGTCTATTAGTAGAAATTTCAGGATTACGTAAAGACCTGGCTTGCCCGGATCTCTTTTGAGAAAGTTTGGACATGTCTTTTTAACAGGAAAATACCAGACTTCAATGAAACGCATGCAGGTTTACTTACAATTTTTGAAACTTTGTTTGGGCAAACAAATGTCAAACTAGTTGAACAACCACTTGAAACGTTTCCATACTTCAAACTGATTGTGTAATCATTGACCATCTCAAGGAATGAAGACTGTACAATGTGACCTTTATCTTCTCCACTGATACATGATGAGGCACCAACTGGGCAGTGAATGCCAGCAACTTCCCCAGTTAATTCTCTGCAGACATTAATGTAGAAATCTGGGACATCTGACGCAGCAACTTTGTGACCACCTAATAATAACGATAAGTTATTAACAACCAGCAAATCCATTCTTATCGATTAATTGAAGAATATTTTCACCAGAGAAAGCTAACAGTGAAAATTGAAAAAGCTGACTGGCAAATGAAAAAAAAATGTGATCTCTTAGACACAATTAAATGAAGGGATCTTCTAACGAAACCAGTTGACAATAACGTGGTCAAAAATGCAATATGATTAGGTTTATTTGAAACCCCTGCGCTCTAATAAAAAGTTGGCACTTATTCAGCAGGAAAACTTAGAATGAAAATAAATGTTCAAAATGGAAAAATAAAAAGTTTTAACTAGTTGTCCCTCTGTTTGTCCAAAGAAACATTACAGTTTCCTAAACATACCAATCCTGAATTGCTAGCGTTAAAATTGTATAGTTACCTTTACTAATGTAGCTTTAAAATAAATAGCAAACAAACATATACATTGCTAAAGATTGTTTGAAGAAACGTCTATCTGGATGAAATTTGTCCAAATAAGCGCTCATCCCTTGTTTTGGAGAGGGCGATTATACAGAAGGGGAATTTTACTCGGCAAGGAGCTTATTTCGCTATTTAGGCTACGGTTGCAGATAAAGGAACTTCAAACTCACATCAATAGTGCATGTCGATCAAAACTAGCTAAAAGACACCGTCTTTATTATATAAACGTACCTTTGACCTTGATTAATTGAGACAAATCCCTAAGATTCCTGTTCTTGTCAACAATGGTGCAAGGAATCTCTTTGACTTTTTTCTCATGTCTACAAGCATCGGTGGTGGAAAACTCAAAAGTATATGTACAACCATTGACTCCAACAAATTCTAGGTTTCCCTGCAATGAAATGCTAGTTCATTTTATATGGCCTTTGGTTTTTCAATTCAAAAGCAAACTTTGAATTAGTTACAGTGGCTACGCATTCAAAACTTGTGTTTAAAACTTTTTGAAAATCGATGTATAGGATGTCCTTTTCATTTCAAGTACCAATGAAAGTCGTTATAGGAAGCCTCTACCACTGCAAGCTACAAACTGTTGCTTGTTAAATATAGAAAAAGACGTATAGTAGCATGAGGTTAGTGGCATGAGGTTAGTGGCATGAGGTTAGTGGCATGAGGTTAGTGGCATTAGGTTAGTGGCATGAGGTTAGTGGCATGAGGTTAGTGGCATGAGGTTAGTGGCATGAGGTTAGTGGCCTTAGGTTAATGGTATCAGATAAGTGGTATCAGATTAGTGGCATCAGGTTAGTGGCATGAGGTTAGTGGCATGAGATTAGTGACATTTAGTTAGTGGCATGAGGTTAGTGGCCTTAGGTTAATGGTATCAGATTAGTGGCATTAAGTTAGTGGTATCAGATTAGTGGTATTAGGTTAGTGGCACGAGGTTAGGGCATACCGGAAAACAAGGGCCCAGGATCAGGACCGAGGACCAGGACCCAGGACCAGGGCCGAGGACCGAGGATCAGGACCTAGGACCAGGACCAAGGACCAGGATCGAGGACCAGGACCGAGGACCAGGACCCAGGACCCAGGACCCAGGACCGTATATGTTTTCGACGATGCACTCTCTGTTTCCTTATAAGAATACCAAGTTATAACATTGCATACCATGAACAATTGTCCATAAAATCCAAAAGTTTTACACATCGAACAAAAGACTGCACATCAGTGTAAGGGGGAAATGAATCTGATTTTATTTCTGATTTTGCGTGAAAAACGGGAATATGTAAATGTACGATTAAACGAAAGCAACGTCTTGAAATGTGAAATACTCTTATTCAGGCCCGTGGGAACCGGGGGGCTGGGGGGCTGGAGCCCCCCCAATAACTGTCAAACTGTAGTATGTTTCCTTTATAACAGTGTGCTAAATGAGAAGGAAAACAATGGGCAGCCCCCCCCCCCCAATACGAATTTCATTCCGACGGCACTGTAATTGGCTATACAAACCTGACGTGGTTGTTTAAGCATAGATGGCTAGCACAGCAATTGCTATTCTTTAGTAGGATCGAGGTATATTTGATGCACACTGCAAACCTTATAACTTTAGTAAGCCCACATCATTAAAAAACCCACTAAAGCATAAGTAGTCTTAATATGTTTAAATAGCAAGACATTAGAACCGTCGATCGCGACACAGAATACAACCGCGATCTCTATTCTGTGATCCTGACGAGTGATTTTGCTTGTCTGAACTTCTTCTACAATTGGCACTGCGCATATCGACAAACCATGTCTGTCGCGTGACAGATCATGCGTGTACCTCTAATGGCACTCATTTGCTGTCTAGGTGATCAGAAACTTTGCCAAGTCATTGCTGCTACAAGTGCTCAAAAGTGAAATTAGGTGAATTGTCGCCACTTTTCTCTTTCAGAGCCGAAACGCTTTCCGGAATACAAAATTTTTAAAACTTTTTTAAATCAAGATCATGACTTCTGATGCATGTTGCAGCCGGCAATTACAAGCATACAAAAAAGAAGCCATTCCTACTTCTAGAGCACAGAAAGCACAGAAACGTTTTGCTGTCAAACCATTTCTGTCTTTGACATCGTTAATGTCTAAACACTTTTTAAATAAATAAAGACTATTTACGCTTTGATGGCTTATTAATGATGTGGGCTTACTAAAGATATAAGGTTTGCTGTGTGCATCAAAGATATCCCCATCCTACTATAGAATAGTAATTGCTGTGCTAGCTATGCTAAAACAACCACGTCAGGTTCGCACGGCTAATAAGAGTATTTCGAGTGTGAGTAAACGTTGCAAGCAGTAGTGTAGAGCTAAAAAAAAGGAGACAGGGGCCATAAAGCTTTTTTAATATTGTATACAAAATGAACGTTTCAGTTGTTTTCGTTTGCATGGCTCCTCAATATAAATTTCTTTACCTTTCCACTTTTTCTAGGGTTAGAAAATTTTCAAATGTTTTCAAAATTTTCAAGAATATTTTTTGCACGATGCAGGTTGTTTGGTCATTTTAGTTCCTAGGCATGCCTTAGGTTCTGAGTCCTGGGTTATGAGTCCTTGGTCTCCTCTTTCGTCACTTGAAAAATGGCACTCCTTTCTTGGCACACATTGGCTGTCTGGGTCATCAGAAATCTTTCCAAGTCATTATATACTGCAAATGCTCAATAGAAGATTCAAATTAGACGAACTGTCTCGGGACACCGCTTTATGGGTGTCACGATAAGATTCCAAAGAAATTTCCTTTCTGCTCTTTTTCAGATGCACTAGTTTCTTTTTATTTAAAAGGAGACCGCTTTCAGAAAGATGTAGTGGTATTTTTCAGAGTAGAAACATTTTATGGAATAGTAAACCTTTTTCAAATCCAGATCAGGACTTTTGACACAATAGTTCAATCTGCAATGATAAAAATACTGGTACCGCGGAAGGGGGCTGTTCTCAAAACCATACAAAATCGCCTTGCTCTTGCTCCGCGGTTCAGGAAAAACATACCAAAGGGAGTGCAGCCATTCCTGCTTCTAGAGCATAGAAACGTTCTAATATCTTGCTATTTAAATATATTAAGACTACTTATGCTTTGGTTGCTTTTTAATGATGTGGGCTTACTAAAGTTATAAGGTTTGCAGTGTGCATCAAATATACCGCGATCTTACTAAAGAATAGCAATTGCTGTGCTAGCCATCTATGCTAAAACAACCACGTCAGGTTTGCATTGGCCAATAACAGTCTTTTGTTCGATGTGTAAAACTTTTGGATTTTATGGACAATTGTTCATGGTATGCAATGTTATAACTTGGTATTCTTATAAAGAAACAGCGAGTGCATCGTCGAAAACATATACGGTCCTGGGTCCTGGTCCTGGGTCCTGGTCCTGGGTCCTGGATCCTGGGTCCTTGTCCTGGGTCCTGGTCCTGAGTCCTCGGTCCTTGCTCCTGGTCCTCGGTCCTGGTCCTCGGTCCTTGGTCCTGCCCTAAGGTCCTGGGTCCTTGTTTTCCGGTATGCCCGAGGTTAGTGGTATGAAGTTAGTGGCATGAGGTTAGTGGCATGAGGTTTGTGGTATCAGGTTAGTGGCATTAGGTTAGTGGCCTTAGGTTAATGGTATCAGATTGGTGACATTAGGTTAGTGGTATCAGATAAGTGATATTAGGTTAGTGGCATGAGGTTAGTGGCATGAGGTTAGTGGCATGAGGTTAGTGGTATCAGGTTAGTGGCATTAGGTTATTGGCATTAGGCTGGTGACATTAAGATAGTAGCAACAGGTTAGTGGCATGAGGTTAGCGGCATGAGGTTAGTTACATAAGGTTAGTGGTATTAGGTTAGTGGCATTAGGTTATTGGCATGAGGCTGGTGGCATTAAGATAGTAGCAACAGGTTAGTGGCATGAGGTTAGTTACATAAGGTTAGTGGTATCAGGTTAGTGGCATTAGGTTATTGGCATGAGGCTGGTGACATTAAAGGGCCACTCCAGCCCAAAAATTTTTTCTGAGATTTTTGCATAAATTGGTAGTTAGTCGAGAAAAAGAAGCTATCGTGAAATTTTTTTTCGAAAAGCTTAACTCGTTTTCCAGATATAGACGCTCAAAGTTGAGAATCACCGTAAAAATACGACAAAATTTTTTTCGGAAAAAGTACCTTGTGACGTATGAAGGGACCATTGTTTCAACATTCGGCGCTATTGTTATACGTTCGCACTGAAATTCGCACGACTCGGTAGTGGCTCGGAAGAGACGATTCATGTCGGAATCTCGGTTGTCGTTTTATTTATTTTCCTTCATTGCGATTGATGTTCAGCGGAGGCTTCCAGCCAACATGGACTAGTAATTCGACAAATCAAAGATGGAAGCTTCAACCTGAACGCATATCCTCATCTTGGCAACGCAGCAAGCTTTTTAATATGGAATGCTTCACGAATTTTCAGATGTGAATGGATTTCTGACCGAAGGCATTTCTTATCGTCGTGTCATCTCAGGAATTTCCAGGGAGCTGAATAATAATTGATGTCTCACCGCATTAGAAGAAGAACCCCATTCACAAGATGGAAACTTTCCCGTAAGTCACAATTCATCCTTATTATCATTTTACTATGTTGAATGTTAGGCCAAACTGCAGGGTGTAGAGGTTTGGAGGGGGTTTGGGGATGGTGTGACACGCACCCCCTAAGCAAAGCAATTTGCCAGGCTTTGAGAAAAACTTCGTACTCTAAATACAAGTTTTCTAACAGTCTTGTGAACTGTCCCCCAAATAGTCAGAAATGTGGTAATATGAAAAGTACAACAGGGGCTCTCAAGCAAAATGTCACATAAAATAGTACCAAAAGTAGAAGTTTGCTACTTTTTTGTACCAATAAGGGGGCCTGAGCCTCCTAGCACTACATCCCTGCCAATGATCTGTGCACTACACCTTTGCCCGAGGTATAGATGTGTAAAATTTCCCAGGGTTTGTCTGATGTTTCCCTGAACCCTTTTTCTTCATGTTCTACCATGTTCTGCCTTCAATTTTGGAATTCTGCCTATTTCATCATAGAATTGATTCACAATTTCAAAATTTTGCCAGATCAATATCCAGGGCAAAAGATCTACTACCCCAAAGAAAAAACATGGAATTTACACCCTTGGTTTTGGAAAAAAGATGTGTCATATCCTCATTCTAATGTTTTAAAGGCAGAATTGTTTATATTTGTTAAAATTACCTTTGCTATTCTAGCATTGATTCATATAAGCATGGCCTATATCATTTAAATTCATCTTTGTGTTACTTCAAGTTAATATCCTTAGATGCTATTTGCTATAGTAACAGTGGTTGCCCTTTCACCCCTAAATTTCTCTTTGATCCTTTTAAATATCTATACTCTGAATGCCCCTGAGTGTCCAAGTTTCTTTGATCATTTTATGTTTTAATATGACTCAAAAGTAAATTTCACTGGTATGTTAGTATTTATCCCTGTCAACCTTATTATTCTAGGCATAAAAAAGGTAACAAACTCTTTTATGGATCAGCAGAAAGGATCTTGCAAAAAAATGCTAGATGAAGGTTGGAGATTACATGCATTCTGTTATCTGGCTACTGGCTTTGTGGGAGTGATAACTTGCCCCTCTCTTCCATGCAAGAGTTACCACAAAGACCTCAACACATTATTCTGTTTTTGTATTAACATTTTTACAAAGGAGACTATTTTTAAAATTATCAAAATTTTATATATAATTTGGTCATATCTATATAATGTTTGTGAATCAACAGTTATTATTTAAAACTAGTAACAACCTATAGGTATTTTCTAGAAATTTTGCAATAGATTATTGTTTCATGATACTTTTATAAGAACATTTCTCATGTGCAATAGAAATTACAAATTTCTAGATAGTTCACTGGCCTGATTGTATAGATATTTGAATATATTATTCAATGTAGCCAAGTATTTAAATACATCAAACATGTATTTATTATTCATAAATATAGCAGGTTGAAATTCTGACAGCTTAAAGAAGCTGACAAGGCCCCTGTAATAGCTTAAAGGTTAAATACAAAAATTATATTTACACAAGTATATTGAAAAAGTTGAATTATTAATATAATCTCAAATCCCTTTTTTGTTTGTATAAAAACAAATTTATAATTTTTGAAAAAGTTGTTTGACTCATGACTAATGGTAGGTTTTTAGTCTTGTCTTGAAAGTTTGTATACTTTCTTGTCCATGCCCTCGATTGTCCTGGTTTATTTCTAATAAGTCATAGTCATGTTGATATGAAGCTCTTTATCCTAATGAATATGTTGTATCAATTCATACAGCTTTCATTCCCGGTATACTGGTTTTGTTTTGGTCTTTCCTCTCGAATTAATTGCGCGATGATTTTTTCAGCTGTTGCACTAAAGGAAGAGCTGATGAAAAAGCGCGAATCTTCTTTTTAAAATCAGGGAACTGGCCTGCCAATATAAATTGCTTCAAAAGCAACATTCCACGAAAGTCTGTCAACATCCTCATGTCTCTGTCTCGCTGGCCTACTTTGACAATTTGACTTCTCTGTCAGAAAGATTCGTGCGATAAAAAACTTCCATATTCGATCAGAATATCAAGACTGATGAGCGATACTTCTCTCTTTATATCGATTCCAGATAAAAGTCTGGCCTACTAACAAACATGCCGCTGCTAGGCCCTGTCTGCCATTTCGCTAGGTTCTCGTTGACCCTTTGGACAGCCGATGGTACTTGCCGTGAACTTACCGAGGCCGAAAATGCCTGTGACGTCAATCCGGAGATCTCCGATAACACGGTTGAAAAACAATTCAACTCAATGACCATTTTACAAACGCTAATAACTACAAAACGGTTAGAGATATGAAAAAAATAATAACAGATTCGTTTTCAGGAGGTCTGATTACATCGTGTTCTGAAATAAAAATTTTGGGCTGGAGTGGCCCTTTAAGATAGTAGCAACAAGTTAGTGGCATGAGGTTAGTTACATAAGGTTAGTGGTATCAGGTTAGTGGCATTAGGTTATTGGCATGAGGCTGGTGACATTAAGATAGTAGCAACAGGTTAGTGGCATAAGGTTAGTGGCATAAGGTTAGTGGTATCAGGTTAGTGGCATTAGGTTATTGGCATGAGGCTGGTGACATTAAGATAGTAGCAACAGGTTAGTGGCATAAGGTTAGTGGCATAAGGTTAGTGGTATCAGGTTAGTGGCATTAGGTTATTGGCATGAGGCTGGTGACATTAAGATAGTAGCAACAAGTTAGTGGCATGAGGTTAGTAATATCAGGTTAGTGGTATCAGGTTAGTGGCATTAGGTTATTGGCATGAGGCTGGTGACATTAAGATAGTAGCAACAGGTTAGTGGCATGAGGTTAGTGGCATAAGGTTAGTGGCATAAGGTTAGTGGCATAAGGTTAGTGGTATCAGGTTAGTGGCATTAGGTTATTGGCATGAGGCTGGTGACATTAAGATAGTAGCAACAGGTTAGTGGCATGAGGTTAGCGGCATGAGGTTAGTGGTATCAGGTTAGTGGCATGAGGTTAGTGGCATTAGGTTATTGGCATGAGGCTGGTGACATTAAGATAGTAGCAACAGGTTAGTGACATTAGGTTAATGGCATGACGTTAGTGGCATGAGGTTAGTGGCATGAGGTTAGTGGCATGAGGTTAGTGGTATCAGGTTAGTGGTATCAGGTTAGTGGTATCAGGTTAGTGGCATGAGGTTAGTGGCATGAGGTTAGTGGCATGAGGTGAGTGGCATTAGGTTAGTGGCATGAGGTTGATGGCATAAAGTTAGTGACATTAAGTTAGTGGTATCTGGTTAGTGGCATTAGGTTAGTGGTATCAGATTAGTGGCATCCGGTTAGTGGCATGAGGTTAGTGGCATCAGGATAGTGGAACCTGGCTTGCGCTATCTTACTTGAGCAAAATTCAGTGTCACACTGCTTGCCTCCAAAGACTTTTTATCGTGCAAAATTGAAAGAGCGAAATATTTCTTGCATTTTGGCATCACATGTGATAAATTGAATTACTAGGTCCAAAATTGAGTGTGGTCAGAGCAATGGTCAATTGACTGAAATGCAGATAGATAAGTCACTTGTGCCTATGAAAAATTCAATTGAATAATTCATTGATAGTTACCATTCTTCGGAAAAAAGGAGCGACAATACTATTTCAATCTTGATGTATCGATACGAAATCGCTGTCTCCCACATGGATACATTATCAAATAAAATCTCAATGCTCTGTTCTTAGCTATATTGATGCTAGAAAGTAGAATTTGTGATACTTTGTTCATTTCAAACATTCCACGGCGTTAATACTAAAAAAATCAAAACAGCTTGATTTTTGTCACCCATATATTCATAGTCACAAAAAGTAAAATTGATATTTTTATAATCTTCGCTGATTTCGTGAAAATAACCGCCCGTAGAAGAACCCCTGATGTGCTCTCATTTGTAGAAATAAACCCCCCAGAGATGATCAATAGTTGCATCGAAGCATGTAGAGTTACCAAAACCATGTTATCAAGGGCATTTACAAGGTTGCCAATAAGCCGCATGTTATAATGACTTTAAGGTGCCAAAAAATTGAAAGACTATTTAAGCTTATTTTAAACTTCAGACCGTAGATTGCTATAAAATATCAATGACGAAATCACTTAGAAGGCAATCAGATACATAGGACCCTAAATAAATATTGTCATGTATTAAAAACAAACAAAATGTTCTAAATAACGAAAAGCCCATGTGCAATACGACCTCTGAATGTGCCGCAGCATGGTCAATTAATATGCACATGCAAAACAAGCCCACGGACCAAAATTTGCCATATATGGGCTGAGTTTGTAAATTTCTCAGGACGCAAAAGTATGGAAACGGTGGGCCAAGATGCTCAGTGGTCATGGATCTAGGCTGACCAACTTCAAAGGTAGGGGTTTGGAAGAGAGGGAGAGGTTAGTTAATCTTAATTTTGAAAAGAGCGGACGCATAAGAGTCTGGGAAGCAGGTACAGAAGTACCAAAATATCGGTGCCAAAAATTTTGGTGGAAACAACTTCGGTCATATTTCTAAAATTTTCGTGTACATTTCGGTGAGAACTTGAAAAATTTCGGTGAAAACAAACATTTTGGCGGGTAAAGAAATGAAACAATTTCTGTAAGTTATTTTTATCTTCAACATGAAATTATCTGGAATGCAATCGTAGAAGTTACAAAAATCGAGTATTTCAGTGTCAGCCAAATAAATGGGCCTGAAGAGCATGTAAGAATGTCATAAACTCTTATTTAGATGAGGTTATCCAAACGAGGAGCTTAGAAATTCTGATCGATTGTGGGCTAAAATTTGGGGAGCCAGTAGAAACATCAGCACAACCCATACAGAGCATTTATTTCCTTTATGTAGAAAAGCACCTGTAAAAAGAGGTATTTACAGTCTAGCAGTGAGAATCTTGGAGAACACGCCAATTTCGGTGGTAGGCTAATTGCGCTAGATTTTTGTTTTTGGTAATCTCGACGGCGCCAAAAACTTTTGGTTTCGATTCGATATGATTTTCTAGTTCTACATCCTTCATTATTTTACCATCAATTTCACTTTGACAATAGGAATACATCAGTGGCAAAATACAATGAGCTGTGCTCAACAAAGTGAGCCCGGAATAGAGAGCTGGTCAACTGGCAATGAAGAACTATATAGTCCTCAATTAATAAATAACTCAAATCAAAGCATGGTTGATCAAAGTCATTCTGTCACCATAATTGTTTTCTGCTCTTTAGTAAAAAACAGAATAATTATAAAACAGGGGTGCGAATAAACAAACTTCCTATTGTGGGGAGCAGTGTACTAACACGTGCGTATGTGACTGTACACCTTTCCCAGGAAGGATTGAGTTCTGGGACATGAATTTGGCAAAAAGATTTTAAAATGGTGAGCACTAGATAAGTACCTGGTATTAGATAGAAGTCTTAGAGGACCAGGGATTATATCTCAATTGATACCCAAAGGGCAATGTTTGTGGTAAAATTTGTCAAGAGATCATACACAAAGAGCAATGTTTGTGGTAAAGTTTGTCAAGATCGGTTTTGCTAAATTGTCTGTTGAAAAACAGTATTTAGGGATTTTTACAGTAGATGTTGTCAAATGTCGGAGATTTGGTCGTTATTGGTGGCTTTGCCCCCTCCCCTTTCAAAAATGAATTTCCACCCCCGTTGTATATGGCACTGGATATGAGCTTGATTTTCCCACTGTCCCAGATATCTTTGGACCCAAAAGAAAAATCTATTTTTGCTATCTAACAGCCAACAAAAACTTTTGAATGAGCTTGGTACAGCAAAATTACTGGGATCAAATTATGTTTTGGATTGATAATATTTAAAACTGGCATATCATAAGAATCCTTACCAGTGTTTTGCTGCATATGAAATACACATCTGTGGTATAATTCTGCATATTACATCTCTGTCCTCCTTTGAATGAAACACTAAAGCCAGAGTGGTCATTTGCAAGAGCTGTTACAGCATTTGCATTCTTGCCTATGCTCGTCCTTGATCCATCTGCATCAATTTTACAAATACTCCCTCCACCACAATTAAAAACTTCATGGCAAAATGATATGTTGTATAATATCTGGCCATCTGGAACTAGCCAAGACCTAATGCAATGATACAAAAATAAAACTGTAATTTAGTGCTTCAACAAGATATCTGAAATGTGTTAAACATTTATAATCTTTTCTGTCCCACAGCAACTAGTCTAAACACTAGCCTAAGTAGCTTTATAAACATCATTAAACACTGAGAACACATTTTTGGACACATCCCAGCAAACACCCTGGCGCATGCCTTCTGCTTTCCAGGAGTGCAAAATATCACACGCCTACTTTTATCATAAAAGCAAAATTCATGATTATTGGTTTTGTTGGTATTTGTAACGGGTGTAAAATTTAGATATTATGAAACCCTGATACAAAAGTTTTTACGGTATGACGAAAAATGTCTGACCCCTTAGATTCTGCCTAACTTTGTACCAATTCCCTTGTATATAACAAACTCTCATTATTCCAAACCTAATTGTAAGCCTGTTTTCCTCATCATAATTTTCCTCGATATGACGACCTATTCTAACAATTTTCAGCGTTATTTCTGTCTACGTATTCCTGGTTGAAACATATATAGTGGCAAACATGCACTTTTATGATACTGAAAATTAGAGACAAGAGATTTGTGCAAAGGTTTACAACATTTTCAAGGCTTTATGGCATCTCAGTAAACAATACCAAACACGCTTTGACTAATTCAAAGAACCAGCCCAAAATTGTACTGCTTGTAAATACAAAACTCAGTCAATTTCTCAAGACAACTGCAGCTAAGCATGAAAGTTGTGCAAAAGCCTTTAAGAGGAAGATAAAGTTTTGTGAACAGGTTTTCATTTTCGATTGTTAATTTAGCGAAAGTAGAGGATTTGCCAATTATGCGAAAAATTGGATTTGCGGATTTGTTATCCTCCTACATTCTCCTCTTAAGCAATGCTCTAAATCTAGATTTTGGGTAATTCCATGTCAAATTTTTGTCAAGTGACACCATATATCTCAGAATTATATGAAATTTGGTGAGCATGTTGCAACTATGGCTAAAAGACTTTCTACCAATTTTTTTCTCAAAATCCCATCCGTTCAGGTTTTATGGGCATTCGAAAAGTCTTTTAGTCCCGCCAAATTTAGGGGCGAAAATCAGAGCCGCAGTTTTGTATGGGTTCAATTGTTTGTAGTATCCAATGGTTTATTGCTGTGCTATGCAAATTTGGCCCTATAAGGTTTTCAAGCATGTAGATTCCACAAAACACACTTAAATATCACTTCCATCTTTACCTTAGAAGATATGCCTCAATCTTCAGGTACAGCTGCAAATTTCCCTCTTGAAAGGCCCAGGTAGCACCACAAATATTGTTAATTTTTTTCAAAAACAAATGTTGTGTGCACGAGTTTGAAAAGTTTCATTGTGGTACTAGGATGATTCTTGATTCTTGAATGATTCTTGTCCCAGGAACAGGATATGTGTTGTAAAATCTTTTTGCTAAAATTTTCCTATTTTTTCTTAAATCAGCCTTGTAGAGGGGAATAAATTTTATCTCTGAAATGTTTGACTCGCAGAACTCAAGCATAGCTTCAAATGTCAAAATCTGGTCAGAAACTGGTATTTGCAAACTTGCCTTTGCAACCAACCGTTTGACAGTGTCACCTGTCCCATCACAAGGCTGCTTCCCATGGCTTGTAGCAAAGAAGTTCCAGACCGCATCAAAACTAAAGTCATTCTTATGGTAGCAGAGATCAATAAAGTTTTTGCGTTTTTTATATTGCTGTGCACAACCATCTATTGTTTTAACTGGGGGACAAACTAACTACATATCATCCAACACAAGCTTTATGACTGAATGAACAAATGAGACATCATGCATTAGGTCATCTGAGAGAACACAATAGGACCTATGCTTAAGAATTTCATCTTCTGTGAAATAAACAACAACTGGGTGAAGAGAGCATTGCTGGTTACTCCAATGGTAGCTTTGGATCTCATCTTGGATCAGAAAGGTGTAGTTTTCAGCAAAGTCTCCAAGAAAAACTGCTGTTTTTCTGTAATATTCTCTTTCCGTAGCTTTAAATATCTAGCCTGGGCTTTCACAAAATAGGAATGTGTTGTCAGTTTTCCCAGCTGGGAAACTACCAAGTCTCCATAGTCACAATTGACTCTTGGCAGTTGACAAGGTCTGACCGATCAGTAGTTGTCCATTGCTGAAATTCAATTTTGTCACTGAATTGATGCTCAAAAGCCACCTTGAAAAGATGTTCTTTTAAGGGATCATTAGAGGTTGGACAAGCATCACAACGATTCACCATGCACTCTCTGCTTTCAGGACTGCGTACAACAAAATGCAGTAGATCTTTATAGCTGGTATTAATAGGAGCAAGAAGGAGTTTGATATTTTGGTGAATAGAGCACACGCAAACAGAATGTGTTCCAGAACCACCTGCTAAAACACACCATTTTGGTCTTAAAGAAGAAAATTTTGAAAAGCCGATCTTAATTTCTGGGAACTTGACTTTAAAGGCATTGAAAAGTTCTTTTATATTACAAAGAATGAACCTCTTTTGTCTGTGGTCATTTGATGCAATACTAACATAATCTTTAAACAATCTTTTGGTGGTAGAAAACTTGTAAATGGCTTTGAAAAAAGCAAACATTTAGTAAACTAAAGCTTTTCGTCTGACACTCTTCAGAGTTTAAAACGTCAGAACATAGATCGAAAACTCTACGCTAAGAAATATATACCCAGTTGTGGATCGAAATAGGCCAATCAGAAACACGAGCACATAACTGTAAAGGTTGACCAATCAGTGCCGCTTGCCTATTAGAATTTAACCAGTGGAGTCATAAGGTGAAAACGAACTCCTTTTGTCTACACAGTAGCGGTTTTTTCGTGCTTATGTAGATAGATTCTAAAACTGCTAGGTGGAACGACGATCGGGCTTTACCAATAATCCGAAACATGTCGCCATTATAGTTTTTTGCACAATTTGGGTTTTCTAGCAAATGCTGCCCGATAGCAGAATCGCAGGTTTTAGTAGTAATTTTGGATTTGCAAGACCGAGGTGGCTGTTCTCTTTGGGGATGTGTTTTGTTTCTAATATTAGATGGAACATGTTGTTTTATCCTATCCTCCAATCTTTGGGTGGTGCGTCCTACGTAGCCAGAATCACACTGGCACGTAAATTCATAAACAACAGAACTTTTTTTTGTGGCAGGAACGCAGTCCTTTTGAATGGACGAAAGGCCTTTTTTGTACTGTAAACAACACGTGGGTTAACCGCGAAGAAACAATTTGTTATGGCCTGTTTTATTTGGCTTTCAAAACGTAGGGAGTTGTTACCGATCCAGGGTAGTTTTAGATAGACCAGGCACTTTTGAGGACCAAATTCTACGTCAGCCGAGAAATTTCCTGTCTTCTCCTTAATGTAAACTGAAATAACATCTTCTGGATAGCCGTTCTCCAGAAAAATCTTAGTTAGTTTTCAAGTTCCGAGTCGAGTTTAGTCTTGGAACAAATCATCATATCATCAACATAATCTTTCTTGCCTGGCATATCTCTGGTGAATTCTTCATCATGGTAGAATTTATGCACAAGGTTGAGGGTTGTTTTGGGCAAGCTATGTCCTTTTTTAGGATCTGGTAAAGACAGGATTCCCTTCTCCATGACTAGCTTGCGTGTAGTACGAACCATGTATTCCGAGACACCAAAGAAATCTGATGCCATTTTATTGGACCAATTTGATGGCAGCAATGTAAGAATCTGTAATTGTTTGCTTTTGCAATCCAATGATTTTACCTTTCTTGCAAGATTATCCATAATTTCATCAAAGGAAGCCACTTTTTTCTTTATTTCCTCACTACTTGACTCAGACGTATCTTGTTGAGCTCTAAGTTCCGTAACAGGTATGTCAAGAGATCTTGCAACTTTTTCTGTCAATGTTGCCACCACAGTTTCGAGCTTGCGTATCCCTTGCTTTGTTTTCACTGCTGTTGAAACGGCATGGTGTTTGATTGGTGATACCCCTAGAGAACTAAAGAAATCGGAAACATCTGAACGATCTTCCTCCAAATCCAAAGATTTTTGAATGGCAGACACCTCTTCATCCTCTGAAACGTCTCCTTGATTATTTGGTCAATCTTCATAATTTCCCTCTTTAATTTCAACTTGTAGTCTTTGTCTACATGATGGCCACAACTTTTTACCAGTGATTAATTTTTTTCTTGTTCCTCAAACAGCAACGTCGTTCAAATCTTTGATGGTCGCCCTGAGCCAGGAAGGTCTTCCAACCCAAGGCTGATTGCATCTGCAACTTTCCTGTACTTTGATATAACTTTTTCATTCACTTCTTTCAATTTTTTTCCTTTTCTTCAATACATCGACGCAGTTTCTACAAATATGTTTCAAAAATGGAAGCAAAAATTGAAAATCAAGGCACAAAATTTCTGCTTTTGGAAAAAAAGCCAAATTCTTCCACTAAATTCTGATCGCACTTCAAAATAGTTTCTTCGTAGAAAGCGTGCACTTTGTCTCATTGGATAGTGTCTGTGATGCTTCTTGTTTGCGGGTCAACTAATTGCGCAAGATTGAGCTCCTAAAGTTTGCTCTCAGAACTCAATAACAGGCAAACTTTACAAGTTCCGTCCTGGCTCTCCTTCGCAACGGAAAGTAAAGTTTGCGTGCAGGCTAGAAACCATGAGCAGAAACGACAAGATGGATCGACCTACACCCTCGTCCTTTTCTTGCCAAATTTCTCTCTTGGAAACATTGTGAAAAGGTTTTATCATCTGCCAGACAAAAACACCCTTCAGGCGTTTTATTTTTCCCTGATTTATCTTAAAGAGCACTTCAAAAACGTTCAGACCAAATCCCGTCAACAGTCTTTGTATTATCAAAATAGGCTGCAGGAGGGGTTTCGCATGTCTTGACTACTTTACGTGTGCGATGGAGTGCGATGTGGACCGCTTATTACCCATCGTTTCTCTTCCCTGTTGTCAAGAACTATAGGATGCTGCTTTTAAGGAGACAATTTGTATTGCAAACAGAAAAGAAACCAAGGAAATTGACGGAGAAATTGCTCTTGTTCTTCTTTAGAGATGTTAAATTTAATTAGTTAATAGGTTTTCTAGGAAGAAATTATAGAATATTTTTGCAATCATTTAAAGATATGCAAACAATCCTTTGGCAGTCCTAGTGATATGAAATTTGGCGGCATTCTGGTTATCGCACACCTTGAAAAGTTTAGGCGTGCGATGACGTGCGATTCATAAAATAGAGACGTTACAATTTCTATGAAAACATGATGTCATCTTTTTATTAGAAGGTGTGCTTGAAAAAGTGTTTGAGGTTTCAATAAAACCAAAACGTTTTTATGGAATTTTAGAAGAAGTTTCTTAAAACCAAAATAATTTCACAAAAAGGATACACTTAAAGGGCCTGTTGCCATTACTCCGTTTCCGTATGAGAACAAATTCTAGTGGATCTTTTTTAGATTTTGAAATTCATTAATATGCCTAAAAACGATGTTGAAAGTGGAGTCATCCAAAAACTGAATCATTTGAATACGCATCGTTTTATTGGGAACAGCGAAGATAGAGGCAATCGAACACGCAGTCATTCAAGTGGCCCAGGGTAATGTGTCCCTGAGAATGCGAGAAGAACGGAGTGAGAGAGCCGAGACACACAAAAATGGAGTAATGGAAACCAGGCCTAATGGAAACAAAGTAAAGAGTTAAAATGCCTCTGGGAATGCCATCAACATAACCCACACAAACTAAATTAAAAATTACTTTAAAGAAAGTAAACAAGAAATTAAAAGAAACAAAAGAGAAAAAGAATATTAATTCAAAACACAGAACTGCGCGTGTGATAGAAAACAGGCATCAACAGTTCTAGGTGTGTGTGGAGGCGTGCGCTTGCGATCGCATGCCTAATATCACCAGGACTGCTTTGGTGGTACAAAGGTGGAAAAAAATTCAATTGCTCATAGAAATTACCATGCGTTGTCGAGAAATTACCATGCAGCATCACTGACTTCAGTATCATCCTTAACATAGCGGATGACAGTTAAAATAATTAAAAAACAGTAGTCATCGCCTCTCCTTCCTCAGAGCTTTCTTTAGTTTCCTCCTTTTTCTCTAGCTTAGGTTTCTTCGATAACATTATAAAGCTTTTGTTTTCTGCTCTTCGAAAGATAGAGCACCATTGCCCTTTTCAAGATATTTTATCTTTCCCGTCAGTCCATATATTATCATTGATTGCAATACAAAATCGCATCTTCATAACACTGTATGGCATTTGTAGTCATCCGATAATTCCGTTCTTTCCCCAACCAATAAATGTTGCGTTTCCTTTCGCCATGATCATCAAAGAACAGAATAATCAGGTGAACAGTGAAGGAAACTCTTGGATCGAGTTTGAAGGTTAATAAAGCACCAAGAGTTGATTGCAGATTACTCCCCCTTGGCACCCCCTTGGTTAAATAACCGTAATACTAAGCGATCTTGTCGTAACTACTTTGTGACGCCATTGCTGAATCTCATATGGGAGGTGCTTTAACAACACCTTGGAAAATGACAGAACTGCCTTTGAATTTGGTGGCTTTGACTTACCGCTGCTTCAAAAGTCTTCCAAACATAAGCAATGGTTTATGGCAAATTCTTTGTTTTGCATGTTCGATGATTTGCATGCCTTGGATGATTTGGGCATGTTTGAAGGCGTGCGAAGACTGCGTCTATGATTCATGCACAAAAAAGGTGAAATGGTCCTTATTATTCAAGATGAACTGATTATAAAAAATCGACCCATTCAGAGACATAGTTTCACAGAAGAGAATGAGCTCGAAGAAATTAGCTCTTCTGGTTAAAACTCTTACAAACTACTGAGTGTATGACTACTCAAATTGTTGTTTTTGCCTTTCATATTCAGTAATTAGTTCTTCCATTCTTAAAATCTTAAATGAAACCTTATCAGTACCCATGTGGCATTTGTCACAAAAATATTTCAGGTATTGCAAAAAATCAATTTGAAAAATCTTCACCCCTTATTGATAATGTTTTTGCTATTATCCCAGAAAATGAAATAGTGAGTGGAAATATTTTGACTCAAATAACTGATCATTTGTTTTTGTTCTCCTTTGTCGCCCTTGTTTTTTTGCTCTTAGGAGTGCAGTACGTCCCATAAAAATTTACAATGTTACAAAATGAATTTTCTAGGCTTAAATGCAGATGATATCTTAAATGACTTTGAAAACCTAACAATAATTCTAATTATTCTGAAAACATAATTCTTCAGATGTAGATGCTAAGTTTGATAGGTTCTTATCAATCTTTGATGAATTAGTTAAAGCTCATCCTTTTTTGAAAAAGCTTTCCAAGGGAGACGCACCCCAGAGATACCCCAGAGAAAGGTTACCTATTAGAAATCTTACTAAGCATAATGATCAGTCTCTTAAATGAACTTTACAAAAAATTAAGGAATTGAGTTACAAATTCTCTGAGAGAAAGTAAAGCCACCTTTTCTCTGGAGGATATTGCTCTCTTCTCGATTAGCTTAGCTACTGAGAGAGTTCCTCCTTGCTAAAATCATATGCTTGATACACATATATACAGTATTATATTGTAAGTAATTGTTGTTGTTAAATGAAATTGATTGATTGTTGTGGTATGATTTGATTGATTAAGAATTCTCCCTCATACAAATCATATAGTATCGTATCTTTCTCTGTTTTTGTGTATTACTGTGTTATTAATTATTAATCTGCAGTTTCTTCTGATGTAAGTTGTTTAATAACAGAGTGTTTTTTATGTAGTGGAATTTAGATAAATTAACTGAACTGAACTGGACTGAACTCATTCCCTATTATAAACCTACAATAAAACTGGAAGGCATAAAAACATTTCAAGAAATCAACTACCAGTTGACCTAATTATTTTCTCGTACAAAATGACTTTTCTTGCCATTCGGCCCTTGCAGCCAACTTTCAAATGACAGGGAATAAATATCTGCAATAATAAGTAGAGGTTTGGTGAAAATAAGCAACGGTCTGTTAAAGAGTTTCTGAAACTTCGGCCGTAAGATAAAAGTTGTTTAACATACCAGTCTGCCACAGTGAACTTTGTATTCCCGACTTCATATTCACAATTTCGTGATGAAAATGCAACCTCAAAGTTGCACAGTTGCAACAGAAGGGAAACAATAGCCACTTCCTTCCTCCACATTGCATAGAAAAAATAATATGGCCTGTTGATAGGATAGGGCCTAGGCATCACATGAGTTCACATGGGTGTCGCTGCGCAGAAGCATGGCGCAAAGTTCAAATTGGGAAGGATCGCAGGATCCAGGATGGCAGGCACTAAACTCAAACTCAAACTGAAAACTTTTTCAGCATCAATTGTTGATTACAATAATAAGTTCTACAAACTTGTTATTGGTTAACTGAATAATGAATAGGATGCATTTAACAGAAACAATTTTTTAAGATTTGCTGATGGACACAGGAAAAAGCTCCAGATTGAGGTATCGAAGCCACACGATCAGTTCTCGCGATTAGAAGATCTAATGCTAATTAAAAGTAACGTCAATATGTATAGTTGTTTAATTCAAAAAGTAATGTAAATGGTGAGATGAGATACAAGCTAAACAACGCAAACGTTTACGAAATTATTTGATAGACATTCAAGACAAAATTATGTTCCTAGTTGACGTGATTTGACGAAGTATTCATTCTACAAACAATTATTTTGCTTTGAATATTAACAGTAAGAGTCAGTAAAAAGCAAAAACTAGTTTATAAGTGTTAAAGTAACTAAAAAATAAAGTAAAATGAGGGAAATAAAACCAATCGAAAGAGGGTTGACAATCAAGTTCAATTAGGTTATAGGACTCTAAGAATTAAAGTTTCACTACAACTAAATTCAAATATTTCATCTACATCACAATTACCTACATCAATAATTTCGTAAAAAATAGCCGTTAAAATTACATAAAGCGAGGTTAAAATAAAGTGTGACATAATGATATAAGAACTAACAATTTAGTTACTGATTAAATAAGCTGGAGAATGTGGAAGTTTTCAGTAAATTTTGAGATGGAAAATATGTAGTTAAAAATTATAGAACTGAGATTCGAAAAATGTAATTATCATGATAGCATCCATGATCTATACAAATTTCAAAAATGAAGGGTCAGGTTGATAAGAATCTGTGTTAAGTTTCATTTTTGAGGTTAACAGAGTTTGCGTTTTTGTTTGTTCTAATTTACGGGGCATGTCATTCCAGTTTTTTAACAATGAAAGATTGTTGAATTGTTTTCCTAATCTATTGAGATTGATGGGAGGCAGTGGCGGCGCCAAGAGGTGGTATGGGGGGGGGGTAATTATCTCCCCACTTTTCTGAAAATATAGTCTATATATTTCTTCTCAAAATGGATTAAAAAGCGCTGGGTAGGGGTAGATCAAATTTCTCAAGGAAAGGGACGAATCACTGGAACGAGGCAAATGGGGCGTAGTCACACTGGCCACGCCCATTACCCTCCCATTCTGTAATAGCTGGCGCCGCCACTGATGGGAGGGGATAGTGTTTGTTGACAGACTGTCTGATTTTATAACTATACAGCGAAGATATTGTAATAAAATATTTATCGAGGGATTGGACTGTTTGTTTTGAAAAATGCCAATGAAAATTAAATATTTTGAGATAAGACAAAAAGGACAGTTTATTCTAAAGAAAGTTTCAAGCTCCACAAATCATATCATATAATGTCATATCATATCATATCATATCATATCATATCATATCATATCATATCATATCATATCATATCATATCATATCATATCATATCATATCATATCATATCATATCATATCATATCATATCATATCATATCATATCATATCATATCATCATCATCAATCATATCATATCATATCATATCATATCATATCATATCATATCATATCATATCATATCATATCATATCATATCATCATATCATATCATATCATATCATATCATATCATATCATATCATATCATATCATATCATATCATATCATATCATATCATATCATATCATATCATATCATATCATATCATATCATATCATATCAACAAAAGCAGGCCCAGAATACTATCCTGTAGAAACACTGCTAGTGACATTTGGAGTATCAGATAGAAATTCACAAATTCAAACAGACTGAGTTCTATTAGAAAGATAAGATTAAAACCAGTGAACGGCAGTTTCTTTTATCCATTACGCTATAATTTATTTGGTAGGACAGAGTAGTTAACAGTGTCGAATGCCTTAGGAAAATATAAAATATTCTTTTGAGTCAAGCGTTCTTTCTTTTCGCATGTTTACCAGTTGCCAGAATGAGAAGTGACAAAGTTAGTTTTGTCACTATTCAAAGCAAGTTTCTTAGCACAAAGCCACTTTTTGATTTATTTTAGTTCATAATTTATTGCATGTTGAAGTTGCTCTAATACATTAAGATATATATCTTATTCATTAAGATTGCTCGAATTTTATTTAGTTGACAATGTTAGGGAAAGGCTCAAGCGCCTATATTCAAGTCCTAGAATGGGGACGGTGGAGGGATTAGGAGGAAAAAGAGAGGGGAAACGTCAAGCTTATTTCTTTTTTTATAAAGACATGTTGTAAGAAATGTCATGTATGATATAAGCGACAGTGGACAACCGCACTTTTCGATCAGTTCTTTGAAGCAACTTCCTCTCGACATAAGTACATATGTAGACAAGTAACAAATAAAATCTGCGATTCTTCTCATAAGAACTAAATATAAAAAACGCTTTATCACATATAACGGGATAAAATTCTGGAATGATATACCGATTCACATAAGAGAACTACCCAGCAGAATTCTGTTTCGGAAACATTTTAAAAATTTGCTCTTTCTGAAAAATCAATAGAAAACCTAACATGTCTGCCATAGCTCTCGCATTTATTATAAATATGAACGGAAAAAATACTTGACGCAATCGCAGAAATTCGAAACCAAATGAAAAGGCTATGTCGTGATGCTTTCTTTGATGTGGTTACTAAAGCAACTTCATATCCGTTTGAAGAATTCAATGTGATGTTCAATGTGATGGAGTCAAAGGGCCTAATCGAGAACCGTGTCAACGCCAAAGCGGGTCTTATTATAACATGGCAAATTCTTTGGAGCACTGAGACAGTCTATTTTGGAGGAACTGGCTATGGAAGGGCAAAACACTGGCAAAGATATTGTGGATTTCAAAATCTATGCACACTGAAATGGTCATTTTGAAAGCAGAAGTGGAAAATATGAGAACATAGAAACAAGATACTGAGGAAAAACAGAATAAATCTGGAGCAAATTTGAGAATTGAGCTCATCCACAATTCTTATGCCTCGCCTTCCTATATCGATCCTGAAAGGATCATTTCGGAGCAACAACGAGAAATTGCATTTTTGAGGAAAGAAATTCTCAGTTAAAACGAAATTTTTCCAGTAAGGACACAAGCCAAATAGAATTGGTAAGGCCACAGTCATTAAGAAGGCGAATGGCTTTAGATTGGTCTTCGTCAAAGAGGCGAAAGAAATACTTAGGAGCATCCCAAACATGAGAGCAGTACTCCAGGAATGAAGGACTTGGGACTTATAATCAGGCACGTAAATAATAGGGGGGCGTGGGGGGCGTAACGCCCCCCAAAGTTTGGAAAATCAAGTTACAGTTGGAAAACTTAACGGTTGACTTGAAATTTTAAGTCCAAACTTATGAATTTTATATTTTAAAAAGTTTTTATTTCAAATGTAAAAATTCTAAACATCAAAATTCACAGGCTAAATCTGACTTATCCATTAATCGTTATCTATTGTGAATCCCGTCTCCACTGGATCCAAATTGCACAATTGCCCCGTTTGCTTTCTTTCTGACGGGAGTTAAATCAAATTAGAACAGGCAAGGTGAATTTCCAGATAAGAAACTTGAAACTTTACAGTTTGGAATAATAATACCCGCATTGATCAGAAAATATTAGAGTGGGAGTTTTTTAAGAAACTACGAGTAGTTAATTCAATAAAAGATTGAGAATCTTTCAGTACTAAAAATTCTCAACGCTTCTTATAAAAAACGAGTTTATGCTAAACTCCCCCTGTTATTTGTTAACGTCCTTGACTCATTATCATAAATTCCTATGACAAAACTGCTGTGAAGCAAGAACACATTGCAAAATTGCAGTAGAAGTATTTGATCAAAGAAGAGTGTTTCATCTTTCGAATCAGGCATATGCACAAGTTTGCTCTCAAATCATCATTTCAATTGTAAAGAACGAAAAGGCATTTGGTCATCTGAAAAGTGTTAGTAGTTTTCATAAAATTGATCAATCGATCTGAAAGAATACTACTAATCATTAAGTATATTTAATACTGGTTTTGCTTGATTGTTGCTTTACTTCTTACAGTAAGTTTAAATTTTTGTTTCATGGTGATCAAAATTTAGAGATTTAGGCTTTTATGTTTTAGGCTATTTGTTGAGTAAGGTTTTGGTAGTTATAAAGAAAATAGAACTATGGTGTTCGGGCTATTTACAAATACCAATTTGGTGGGTACAGTAGATTTACTGGTCGCATCAAAAATTTCTCACTTAAAGTTGGAATTTTCATCCTTCCACGCCCCTCCAAAATTAGCAACTTATTTTCGTCCCTGCTTATAATTAGTTATGAGTTGTGATGGTGAGAAGAATCCACGTGCTCTAGAGAGGAACCCAAGTTTTTGTGAGGAATGTTCAGCAATAGAAGAAATGTGAGTGTGACGTTATTAGCCTCGTATATACGTTATGTGGGCATGCGCGCGTTTGGTTATGTTATTTTCTAAGCGTGAGAATAAAAAATGAAGTATTAAAGACCGAGTAAGAGTGTCCTTCGTTGTCAGGGGCGGATTCAGACAGTGGCACCGGTTGCACGTGCCACGGTCAGATTTCCAAATTTAAATTTTTGGAAAATGATGGACTGTTCTAAGTATCCCGATATGGTCCTTGCTGTCTAACAATTCCTCTTCGCTCCAGCGTCTATCTACCACGCCCCCTCTCCGCTGTTGGTTTAGTAGTACGCCATGTTGGATTTGCTTATTGTTTGCCTTTTGTTAACCACGGAATAATTGGCTCTACCAAATCGTGCCACACTAGATATAAATAGAAGTATGCGCGCACATTTTTAAACAATATGTTTTGAGACCAAATGGCTGTGCTTTTGTTCTTGTGCCACGGTCGAGGCTCTGTATGCTTCTGTTCAGACCCGAGAAATGCG